TGGGGCCTTAGCTTTAATATAACCTTTGAACCAGTGTTTGTGAAGTGACAGCCCTCGTGCCCAGTGTGCTGCGTACGCCAGAGCTCGGCTTCTGCCTTGGGAGTAAAGAAGCCCATATTAATAGTACTTTGTGGCCCCCTTATAAACCCCTTAGTAATAATACTAACCAGAGTCAACTTGAAAGGGCTGGCCAAGGTCGCAGTCAAGGTGACGGTGCGCTCCTGGGACGCGTATTGGCGCTCCGCTGCGAACCGCGTGGGCCGCAGATGTGGTGTTAAGTGTACCTTACTAAGCATGTCTAAGCCGATGTCTATGCAAAAGATGGCAGATATGCAGAGAAACCCGACCTTCCTTTGGCTTTGAGGCTTCGATTTCTTCACGACCTTCCTGTTGCTGTTCACAAGCGTGTTGCCGTACTTACCAAACAGCGCCGGGGCCTCGTCTACGTCGCAGGGCTCAGCTCGAAGATGATGAGCTTCCAAGGGTTTCTGTGCACTTTTGCATGCCAATCATAAGATTTGAAAAGGCCGCCACCAGGCGGTGAAAACAGCCAAGCTGTTTTGTAGTCTTCAGACATCCATGGGATGTTCTGCTATGGCCATATCAAACTGTAGGCGGTGCCGTAGCTGCACTTGTCGCCTGAGGTTATGCCGTTTGATCTAAAGCAGTACGCGAACATCCTGCGACTGCTGCGCCTGCTGCGTGTCTGAAGCTCAGAAGGAAATATCGAACTTGCGCATAGGAGCACTTTCTCAGTTGGCTAGGATAGGACTGCGCATGGCAGCTGTGGACCCTAGATTCCTAGACTTTGAAGCTGTCCTGACAAGTCTTGAGGTGGTCAAGCAGTTGAAATCGCTTCGCTCCGTGCAGTGTGGCACTTGGAAGCTCGAGGGAATGCACCCCTCTGCCACTTTGGATTCCAGGGTATACTTCGTAGATCTTTGACGCTTTTATAAGCCATGGTGCCTTGCTGCAACGCACGTGGTAAGAGCCCGGTGTACTGATTGCACAGAACGCAGCCAAACCTCCAGCTGAGCCTCCGTCCGTCGTCACAGCTACCCTGTAGCAGTCGTAAGGTCGTAGCTTAACGCCTCCGCCCGCCAGGTTCTTAGCCAATGCAGTCTCCAAAATGGTTTCTGCAGCAGGTGCCCAGCTGGTTCCAACGGGGCACATGGATTGTTTGTCTAAGTTATTGAGATTGAACATTGAGGGCTGGCTGGCTGGCTGAGCTTCTTAAAGGTTGTCGCGCACTATGGGGTAGCGATCCCTAGCCAGTCTGCAATCATCCCTTTCGGGCAGTTTCAGACATCCCGAAATTCTGAACCAGACAGCTGCTGAGACTTACAGGCAGCATCCTCCTCATGCTTGGCTGCGCCGCTTGGCACGGTTGGGTGAGTGTGCTCAAACACGAGTTTAGGGTCTACAAGTTTGTTATTTCGACACAACCCACCCAGTAATCACTGGATGCCTTCACCGTGGCACCCTGCCAGTCCAAAGTCAATGCTACCAGTATTGTCGCAAGGCTCCAACTGAAGGCGTGAAACTCTGACATGCTGCAAGGTGGTGTTCTTCTTTATGACTCTCGGCGTCAACCTGTTTGGTGGTGTTCTGTACAAGGCGAGCTTGCTTGACTTCTCAGAACAGCTCCTGAGTAGCACCACAGACGACCGAGGCAAGTAACAGTTTGACGCCATGTAGAACCTAAGCACGGGTGTCATGCAGGGCAATCCAGATCTCAAGCACACGGAGTACGAGGCCGGGTGGTGAGAAACACCACTGTTGGCTGCGCTGGCGAATCTGCCGAAGGATTGAATAGACAACGTATTTATCATTAGCTGAGGCGCTGAACAACTTGACAACAGCATCAGGAGAAGCACTGGTTCGTCTTCAACTTTAACGATGCTATCATGGCTGGGAGCTCGATCTCGGCCGTTCGAGCCCTCCATACATGATGGGCTTCTGGGGGTGCCCGAAGTTTAAAGGCCGGGTGCTAGCAGAGACCCGATCATGGACAACAATTCAGAGAACTAGTCGCTGAACAGATGCTGGTAGCTGTCGCGTCGTTTCTCTTACAGGATCGTGCCGAGAACAGGCTAGTGACGTCTGATTGTCACACTAAATGCATGCCCAGACCGTGAGGCTTTCGCCCTCTTCTTTACGCAGCTTCTCTGTGAGCCATGGCCCTGGGCAACTGGTGTTCGCTGAACAGAAAGCTGAACAATGTGGTGGCTGAACTTTGTAACTTAGTAAGCTGGTGCATGGGCCAAGGTATGTTCCCACCAACGCTGAGGCCGAAGGGAAGCGCATGGGAGTTGGGTTGTGAGTCATGAATCATATTATATTAGCTGTCGGCTGCTGCCAAGCTGGTGCCCACAACATGTGCCCGTACCCGTGCCCGCGCCTTGTTGTCGGCCTTTCAAAAAGTGCCTGACTTGCCGAGCTCTCCGCGCCACGAGAAGAACTCAATTAAACTCCGAGTTGCCACATGTCGTCGCACGCAAGAAGGGCGCGACGGTCTGAGGGCTCCGAGAGGGCTTCCCTAGTCATTATCATAACCCCACTTCACATATATATATATATAGAAATGTATACATATATATATATATATATTTATGTATATATATATACACATACATTTATATACATGTATCTCTCTGTGTCCATATAGTCTTCGCTATGAGCGCAGGTCTAGAGCTGCGCTCATAGAAGTTCGTATCCGTGCTCTCCCCAGGCCCTGGAGGCCGCTTCGGAGTCGCGGCCCCAGGAGTTGATCTCAGGCCCCAGATGAGACCAAGTCTGCTGCCTTTCAGGGACGTAGAAGGGACATAATCCCTTGTAGGGTATATATATATATATATCTATCTACATATATAGGGCCCTATATCCCCCTTTATATACCCTTTAAGGGATGATATAGTGTGGCCTTGTGTTTTTTTCGAGGAAGGCTTATTGGAATGGGAAGGCTTATTGGAATGGGGAGCCACTTCATGGATTCAGGGTCGACTTGTAGTGTGCGCGTCACACCAGACTCACACTCACTAGTGGAACTCTCTGCCATGCCCTTGCGCATTCTGAGAGCGTGCGCCCATGGATCCATCAAGCGATCAGACCACCTTTACCGAGGTGGGGTGATGTTGCTTGGTTGATCTTCCCAATTTTCTACTTTCTGGGAGCCGGGCCCCCATGTGCGATGGCCAGTCATGGCACGCTTGGCACTACTCGGATTCACGGAGCTCGCCGGCAGGTGGCCATTATGTTTGAGATCCTCTTGGCCTTCACGGTTGAAGCCTACATCGAGCTCCGAGAGGCATGTGCGAGTCCAATCACCTGTAATATCCTAAAGTGAGTGTTAAACGTAGCTTCTGGGAGTCAGAACTGTCGTCAACTAGCATATCTTTGCACGCGACCGGTTGACTGCTTGACGGCATGCAATTCAAGCGAGCCCTGGATATCCTACATTCCTTCAGTCCAGCTGGTGCAGGAAAACGAGAAAGAAGAGGCTACGTTGGTGTTTGCAAGCCTCGCATCTACACGGTAAAAAAACATCTCATGTGACCCCTCTCGCTTGTGCTTTACATCCACGCAAGCTGGCCCCTGGATGGTCAACCAGGGCGAAGAAGAAGAGGAGGAGGAGGAGGAAGAGGCTCTCCCTCGAAGAGCGCAAGTCTTTTGGATTTAGGCTGTGTTTGGGGCTTCGAGTCCTTCGCCAATGCTGGACTGGAGCAAGCAGCGTCTCTATGCTCTAAGGTTTGCATGAACAGGGCCCCCAATGTGGAGATAGAGCAAGTCTCTAGTTTGGGGCTTTGGGCTTGTGGTGTTCGAGGCCTACAGGACCCAATCAGTGATTCAGGGCTGAGAGGCTGTGCATAATGCACAAGGGCCGATTGGCTGCGCATGATGAGATTGTACGAGTGTCGGGTTATCATCTGGCGGTTGTTGGGAAGCTGTGTGCTGGAATTCCATTCTCAAAGCTTGATAGATTGCAGGAGGGGCACGAGAATGCCCACGGACCTGCCGAACACGCTGAACATGGTCATGCGGAGCATGGTCATGGAGAGGAGGAGCCCGTGTGTCTTTAACATCGATTGGCCCGCTACCAACTACCCAGTACCAAGATTATGAATGATGTTTTGCGATCCACTCTGCAAAAGGGAGAACCGGGTGCACCTCGAACCTTGCTAGCTGGAACTGCAGGTGTGCATGTGTGCGCATAATAGAAGCCGTTGGCACTCACACGACCGTGAATGGAGGGCACGCCCGGCGCCCGGAGGTCAGGAGCGTCGAGGAGAGCGAGAGAGGGAGGGCGCGGGAGGGAGGGAGGGAGGGAGGGAGGGAGTCTCTCCCGAAGGCGCGCCCGCGCGCGTGCGCTGGGTTTACCATCCTCAAGCCCCTCGGAAGAAAAACTAGAAAGACTCCAGCTTCGAATCGCTGACACCCTTGGGTGCGCGGAGGAAGGGCCCTGGACCCCAAACCCTGCAGGAAGAAGAAAAGGAAGAACAAAAGAGTGAAACAGTGATGAAAGTGTTTTGCAGGAGCACGAAGAGGGCAAGTCCAGCAAAGGCTTCGACATCGAAGCTTGGTCAGCAGCGGCACTGTTTGGATCCGGGTCAGGTCGCGAGCGTGAAGGATTATCCAGGTTGATCCTGCCCAGAATGCTCGGTAGCAGTATCTGCACATCCCCGGCATGCTCAGCAAGTCACGGGTCAAGGTGCTTAAAGTAGAGAAGGCATGAGAAGGCAAGCTGCCACTTTTCAACCCAGGATGAATTCTTCGAAGAGGCTCAGCTCCAATGCTTGACGATCCCAAAATGGCAGGGGATTTGCGTGAATGATCGTGGCAGGCTTCCTTCATGTAGCCGAAGGGGTTGCTGGGAGACTTTAGGTCACTGGGGCACATTCAGCACAAATGGGATATCGCCTGGACGTGCCGGGACGCACATGCCTCTTGTGCGACTCGCAGCATGTCCCGCGCAGGTCCAGGAGAAGTTTGAGAAAAGAGACATGCAGGTGCACTACGTCACGCAGGCCAGCAAGCACGCAAAGAGCGCAACTGAAGCAAGGGTCACGAACCCCAAGCCATACCTGTGTCGTTCTCACATGCCTGAGCCCGGATGCCCTGTCAGGATGAGCCGAACTTCCCAAAGTTGTTGAAGGAGGCTGGGCTCCTTCCGGCTGAGGTGTTTAGGAAGATTAGGGTGCTTATCTGTAAAATGTGCGGGACATCTCTGGTACGTGCGGCCCATGTTACTCTTCATCCCTTCCGCAAGAAGTCCACGTTCAAAGTGGTGCAATCCAATCTGAATCCTTGCTTGTCCTTACGGCCCAAAGCAGCACTTAGGTGTGACCTGTAGCCCTGCAATGACTCGAACCATGAGGCTTATGAAGAAGCTTTGGAGAAGAAGAAGGTCGATGACTACCCAGCTCTGTGGCATGGATTGTGGACCTCTTCCGAAGCACCCATTTGTGTAGCTTGAGCCCTGGATCAGCCCAAGAGCTACCATGATCAACCGAGGCGCTCTCGCATGAACGAATTGCCAAGGCTCAGCTGCAACGCAATCGACCGTGTCGCCATCTTTGGGGCAACTTTCGTTTTGGGAGGGTGTAGAAAGTTCTTTTGACTGTTGGTCTGCCGGGCGGCTGGTATGTAAAGGTGGCACGCCATTATCAATAAGGTTGCCAAGCATAGCTTTCGGCCCTCATATGTTGGAGTGTAGCTATGGGCTTTGCTGATTCGGTATTTCGGTAGTTTTGCCAGTCGAAGTAGCCGCTTGCTTCAGATGCGGTTGCAGCATGTGCAAGGCAGCCTGGCAGTTTGAAAATGCGATCTTCCACACTGAGTGGGCAAGGTGCGCAGGTCGTTCAGTAACTGTCGCACAGCGTTGCCGAGTTTAGGCTGTCCCGTCGGTAGGTCGCAGGATTGATTTCGCACCTTTTGGTATGAACTCACTGCGTATCGGAGACTCGGGCGCTTGCAGTGCTAGATGTTTCGGTGTAACTAGGGCCGCGTGGGGGTTTCTTGAGAGAGCGGACGTGAGAGAGTCGATCTAACCGTGCTAAACAGCTCGGACCACAGCCTGACTCCACTGTGCAGTTAGCTGCCTCTGTGAAGCTTCAGAGGTATCCCGAGGACACTGCTGCGGCGCGGCAGCAGCACTTCAAGGTTCCTGGATCCAAGCAGAAGCGAAAAAGCAACCGTTTGTTGCTTGCTTGTTTGTTTGTTTGTTTTTTTGTTTGTTTGTTTGTTTGTTTGTTGTTTGTTTGTATGTTTGTTGTTTGTTTGTTGTTTGTTTGTTGGTTGGCTTGTTGGTTGCTTGTTTGTTGTTTGTTTGTTGGTTGGTTGTTTGCTTGTTTGTTGCCTGTTTGTTGCCTGTTTGTTGCTTGTTTGTTGCTTGTTTGTTGCTTGTTTGTTGCTTGTTTGTTCTGTTTGTTTGTTCTGTTTGTTGTTTGTTCTGTTTGCTTGTTCTGTTTGTGTGTTCTGTGTGTTTGTTTGTCTGTTGCTTGTTTGTTGTTTGTCTGTTGTTTGTCTGTTGCTTGTTTGTTGCTTGTTTGTTGCTTTTTTTGTTGCTAGTTTGTTACTAGTTTGTTGCTAGTTTGTTGTTTGTTTGTTTGTTTGTTTGTTTGTTTGTTTCTTTGTTTGTTTGTTTGTTTGTTTGTTTGTTTAGTCGTTGCTTCGTTGTTGCTAGTTTGTTGCTAGTTTGTTGCTAGTTTGTTACTAGTTTGTTGCTAGTTTGTTGTTTGTTTGTTTGTTTGTTTGTTTGTTTGTATGTTTGTTTGTTTGTTTGTTTGTTTGTTTAGTTGTTGCTTCGTTGTTGCTAGTTTGTTGCTAGTTTGTTGCTTGTTAGTTGCTTGTCTGCTGCTTGTTTGTTGCTTGTTTGTTGCTTGTTTGTTGCTCGTTTGTTGCTTGTTTGTTGCTTGTTTGTCTGTTGTTTGTTGTTTGTTGTTTGTTTGCTTGCTTGCTTGCTTGCTTGTTTGTTTGTTTGTTTGTTTGTTTGTTTGTTTGTTTGTTTGTTTGTTTGTTTGTTTGTTTGTTTGTTTGTTTGTACTTGTTTGTTGTTTGTCCTTTACGGCTGAACCTTGTTGTTGTTGCTGTTGTTGTTGTTGTTGTTGTTGTTGTTGTTGTTGTTGTTGTTGTTGTTGTTGTTGTTGTTGTTGTTGTTGTTGTTGTTGTTGTTGTTCTGCATGTATTTTCCAAGGCTTGAGCGTTTTTTGGATTTCAAGCAGGCGCTGCTTCGTTCCAGCGCGCGCCATGTGAGCTTAGGTGATGCGCCACAACAAGCTCTACTACAAGGCTCTGGCTTTCACCGTCTAGAAGGTAAGCACGTAAGGATCAACTTTATGCCCAGCTTTGAAGTGACGTGGATGCCTGGCCAGCTTGTCCGGAAGCCACATGCTTTGTTTAAGCATAGGCATAGACGATGTCAGACTATGGTCCAGAGCCTAGAGAAGTCCTGATCGGCAATGTAACTTTTCTGCATGTGCATGTCGCAGGCCATTGTCGCGCTGGTCATCCTGACGTTTTGCGAAGTGCCACCCTGGTGCCACGAGCGATCACCAACGCAGGAGCCGCCTTGCAATCCCTGGTATTGCAGCGAGAGGTCAAAGTCGTAGCAGCACTGATGCCGGATGTAACGCGACGGTAATGGGTGCACTTGAGCCGGGTGCTAGGCTTACTTTCGACTTCCAAAGCTAGAAGAAAAACACACACAGAATAATAATAATAATAATAATCATAATAGCAATAAGAATATTGACTCCCGAAGAGCTGTGGCAGGACATTTGGAGCTGGGTTCCGCCTGGGGAGTGGTGCCACGTGCCCAACGGTGGCAACCCGTGGCTCAGCAGCATCAGGAGCCCCTATGGAATCACTATATCCCATTTTGCATTTTTGTTTATATAAATCCCAAGAGGACATTAAAAATAGTATGTTTATTAAGGTTCTAAGGGGGGTATAGATCAATGTGAAGACATTCGGAGACATTCGCTCCGAGGTATCTGTCGAACATCTGGTACATACCACCTGGCGTTGGGCTCATCATCGAGCTTGTGATCGAGATCATCATCCTTCGGAAGGTGCGACCTGAGCGTGAGAGTTGGGTGCAAGTTTGACCCTCACGTGGGGTGAGGGTGGCCTATTGCAGCATTCTGAGGCTTCTCAGTCACCAATGTCTTTGCCCGGCAGGATGATGCTTATGATAGGGGAAAATGAGTGACAGATGCCTTGCCAGGGTCGTGCGCAAGTCGCGTTCCAATAGCACAGAAATGCCACTCGTGGCCAGAGGGCATAGGGCAATCCGAATTCTTAAGCCTAGCATTAGGGTTCCTGCAGTGGATCGGCTGCCAGGACGATGCTTAATCTTGGAACGGGAACGGACTAGTTCGGCTTGTCCTTTGCGCGGGCATCGAAGGAAGTGCAGTTCCATTGCTTGGGGTCCTACTATCAGGAATTCACGTAAATGAAAGGTAGCTGGCACCCTGCTTTAACAGAACACCCCCAGCCACATCTTCAAGATGTCAGCTCCCAATGTTCCAGTGGAAGCCAAACCACGTGCCTGGGCAGTTTCTGCTGAACTTAAACCTGGACCAGCAGCACTTCCGGGCGATTGGCACGCAGTACTTCGACCACAGTGGCCTGGTGCAGCTCAATGTGCCACAACCGGGTAGGGCTGAGGGAACGTCTGCACAGTACACGCCCAACATGTAGAAACATGGAGGTTGCGTGCATCCGGGTCTCACCTTTCCATCGGCGTGGAGGGTTCGAGATGTTTATCAAGTACCCGGGTTCATGGGAGACATAATGCTTCCTATGGCACATGGTACTCCGTGGAGGTGCGATCGTACAAGTCAAGACGCTAGCTTGTCAATTTGCCCGTCGCTCTCTGATTTCGATAGAACAGGATAGGAGAGGTTGTACAAGATCTCATACTTGAAGGGTCATGGGTAGTTATAAGTGTAGGGTTCTACAGTATAGTTTGCGCTACAACTTGCTTTGTGCTCGGAAGGTACTCACGGCTCTCGTTCTCAGTCGTCTTCAAAGCGGTAAGTCGTCAGGTTTTAGTACCAGAAGACACTTTGGTCGAGTGGCTAAGGCGTCGGCCTGCTAAGCCGATGGGGTCTCCCCGCGTGGGCTAGGGCTAACACTACAGTTACTCTGCTCTTATTTCAACTCTAAGAAACCAATAAGCGAACCCTAAATGAGGTAGCAGAAGCTAAGGCCACAAAGGCATCTGGATGTAGACTGGTCGACATTGAACCGTGGCTCTTTCAGCCAGCTCCTACAGTACAGAATATCATCAGGTGATTCGTAAACATAGCAACGTCATAGGGTGATTAGCAACAATAAATCCAAGAACAGAAGCGCATTAGATTCGGACGGGTCTCGCTGGTGCATGCCAGCCTATCCAAGCGAAGGTTTGGTTGTCGCGGGCTTGCTGATGGCCGTCGGTAGCATGCTCGACACGCTCCTTGTCGGACACCGACCGGTCATTCAGAGTGAGATGTCCAGCTTCTTTTGGTTTGTCGAGGGGATTGATCAGTCTGTCAGGATATCACAGAGTGAAGAGGCGTTGAGCCAGATCTTTGCGTTCGTTCGGGTGGATAGAATCAACAAGCCCTCGATCCGTTTCAGATCTCACTCACACAAACCTACGTTGCTGTCCTGTGGTCTTACTGTCTTACTGTCTGGATATTCTCCGCCCCTTGTCACCTCTACTGCAATGTTCCACGAGTGAAACTTAACACTCTCACACTGCGTTGAGCCAGCCAGCCATACGGCCGCTTCTCACGAGGCTCGTCTTCACCTTCGCTCGGATGCCTATTCGATTCACCTGGATTTTCAGGCCTCTTGGCTTGGGTAAGGGCAGAAGTGCATAGCAGAATCCAAGAATCGCATGGACTGGCTCCTCGTCATGTTTGCAGTGCGTGGTGACCCCAACATCGGCAAAGCTTTATGCCGCCAGAGAATGTCTCTGAACATTTCGATCAGCTTAGCTTTGTCACCTGCGGCTGGGCCCCCCCCCCCCCCCCCCCCCCCCCCCCCCCCACAACCCAGCATTTTTCAGGACGGGCCTTCTCTTCATACTGCCGGGTGTGCAGCGAGTCTACACCCTCATTTTCAACAAGCTGCTCTGGCTGCAGACTGGGCGGGTGTGGACGGTCGGGTGGATGCTGGGGTCGGATGTTCTTGCACCGCCGGAAACACATTTTCACACGAGATGTGGCAACCTGGAACATCAAGCCAAGCTGAAGCAGCCTCCAGCTACTCCAAGTAGGAGCAACACCAGTACTGTGCGGTGAATGTGGCTCGCCTTTGGAAACTACCTGCGCACACGTGCCGAGGCGGATGATCGGAGAGTTCGCGCGACTTCCCTGCATCAGCAGGGTACAGATCTGTGTTCGCAGCCGGCATGGCACTGCAGACACTGTTGTTTAGATTTATTTGGGCTGCTCTTTGTCCGTTCCGTGGCTCAGCAACTTGTGGAGACCCGGCAGTGAAGGTCAGTTGCAGTTTTCTTCGTTGGTACGGTGCCACTTGGTGGCATCTGGTGTCTCCATCCTTGAGCCGTTGTTGCACGACGTAGGCTCCGGAATGTATGAAAGGCTATCTTGTGCTTTTCGTGTGGGAGCCGCACTTTTGGGGCTGTTTCCAGACATCATGCCAAGCCTGATGTGTGTTTGAGGATGTTCTTCGCATGGGTTACGGTCATCATCTTCAAGGACTTGAACGCCCCCGCATTCAAGGAAGACGAGGAGCCGTGCATCGACTCGAAGCCCTAACGAAACGTGCTTGAACACTTGTCCGGACAGGAGATCGTCCCTGCCAACAAGGCGGGGCTTGGCACTTGGACTTGTGAGGACCCAGCTGAGTTTAGACCTCAAGCTCAGTCCCAGCCTGGTGGGAGAGACTTGTGATGCTTTGCCAGCTGCCTGAACAGGGCTTATCAACACTGAGGGAGGTGTCTTGGCTGCAGAGCACGGACAACACTCAGGGGACCAGGGCGAAGCTGGCTGTATCTGATGATGGGTTAGGCGTATTTAAAGCGCACATGTGTAAATTTATTCGTCTATGTTCGCTTCTGCAGTGCTCAAAACCATGCTGCGAGATGGAGATAGTAAAGAAGTCAAGAGTCAAGACATGGATATTTCAACATGCTTGGCATGAGAGGCTTGCGCAATCTTTTTCAGCATGCCCTCTGCAGTAAACTCTAGGCCTTGTAACCCAGGCCACCTACTCCTTGTTCGTTGCCGGCATTGGTGTCTCGGCAGCTTTCGGGAATTGGGGTGGCTTGTTGGGTTGTCTGTGCGCTTCTGCCTTGTTCACGTCCTGGTTTCGGGGGTCTCTTGGGATGGCGATTTTGGCGGTCTGGCGTTCAGAGTTTTGAGTTGTTTAGCCTTGTTTTTTGGATGCTCACTGTCCCACTCCCAACGAGAACCCGAGGCGAAGGCTTCGTGAGCAACTTCCTGCCGTCCTTCTTCACCTACCGACTTTCAGGCGCGAGAACGCGAGCAGAAGATTTTGTTTGGGGTTTAGGGTTTAGGGTTTAGGATTTAGGGTTTAGGGAAGCCCTGACATGCATTGACTGTGCAGAGGCGTCTTCTGGCTGATCTTCCTGGTGATCGGTCAGATCTTGTGCGGGGCCCCAGCGGGAAAGGAACCACACTACCCAGAAAAGGGTTTGGGGCCAGGGCTCAGGGTCTGTCTTGTTGAGGCAAGTCTAATGATCTGGCATGAATACTTCATTACAATTATATTGTGTATATGGCGGCCACCATTCCCAGAAGAGGGTCCGGGCATTCCAGGGCTGTGCTTCATTGTTACTACCTCTGCATGCTTGTTTCCGAGACATGGGCTAGGAAAATTTCACCAGAGATCCGCAGGCTGCTCAATCTAGTCATCGACGCTTTCGTGGCGGCGTACCTGAAAGGCTCAGAAGAGGAACGTGGGAGCTGGGCGAGCTGGGAATGCGGAGAGAGCAGATGCCCACTTTTGACATTCATGGCACTCTGATGAGGGGCCCAAACAACCACAAAAACACAAGGATCCTACGAGCCCCTCTGAGTGAGATTCCGAAAAACCCTGTTTGTAGGATCCTTATGTTTGTGTGGTTTTCTTGGGCCCCTGCTGATACACCCACTTGAAAGCTCGGCTGGCTTTGTGGCGTGTGCTGCAGGAGTTGGACAGGAAAGCCTCAGCGGAGGCAGTCAATGCAGGGATTCGGTAGGTCTATCAATCTATCATGCAAGGCCGGTCGAGACTTTATAGACTTCTTGGGCGGATCAGATGCAGCTCAGACCATTCAGCATGTTCGTGTTCTCTTGCTGCCCAAGTGATACGCTGGGTTGCTTTCTCAACACAGCCACCACCAAAAGCGTACCCGTACTACAACATGGCTGCTGGGCCACCAGGTACCATGTACCATGTAAAACTCAGCCGGAAGCCTCGGGAAGTGCGCTGGCACAGAGGCGCAAAGTATGCACGGTGCTTTCAAGACTCTCTCAGACTCTCTGCGGCACTATGGGGAAGAAAGCCTGAGATTCAAAGTTCGAGGGGGTGCACCGGCGTGAAGCCAACTCTGGGATGAAAGGCAGCTGTCTTTAAGGTTTAGGGTTTAGGGAAGTCTGGAGAAGCATAGCTCCTTCATGAAATCCATTCAGGCTGCCTCCAGCGACCATCGAGTAGTTCCAGAGGAGACCTTCCTCGAGTTTGTGGAGGATTTGGGCAAATCTCCCCGCGGCTGGGCCAAGTCCAAGAGATTTCCCCTCCCCCGCACACCAAAGCTGTTTGTACAGGTTTTTGGTTCTTCCAAGAATAGCAGCAGCCGTAGCAGGGTTAGCCCTTGATCGTTTTGGGATATCCAGCCTTTGACATCCCTGAGGCATGTTCCCAATCGCGCGAGAAACGGTGTGAAGCTGAGCATCTGACTGCTCATGCGCATCCCCCCTGACGACAATGTACTTCAATTGGCGTGGCAGCAAGGCAGAGCTGTTGCTCGAGCACTTTGGCGACGTCACCGAGGCACATTGTAGAGCTGGCAAATGCTGGGAAAGAAAAAGATGGGGAATTCACTGACTTCAAGGGTCTCCGGACACTTGTGTGCCCTCTTGTACGGTATACCGTGACAGGAGAAGTTCCTGGACGCTTGCCGAGTCTTTCAGAACCCAGTCTGGGCGACTCCCAAGGACCGGTTTGCGGTTTGGTCTCTGTTGCTCTGTTCAATTTCCTGCCAACATGTTGTGTCCGATGGGGAGATTTCACTATCTCAGTTGATGCATGACGAAGTAGTGCCTGTGTGCTGGCTTGAGTACATGTCTGCTCATTCTACTTGCTTGGAGGACTCGTTCATAAAGCACTGCGCGCCCGGGATGTGGAACCAGGACTGGTTTGTATCCCTGAGGCACCGCGATAGACTGTAGCGATCTGATAAGAATCTAACCCCATGAGCTTAGACTGTTTAGACTGTCTTCAACTGCTTCGCCACCTAAGCTCAGAGCCCCGTGGCTTGGCGTGAGCGCAAGCTTGGAAGGCACAAAGTTTGGGAGCCCAAAGAGCTCCCGGCCTTCGACGTCTTCATGAACAATGTGCGCGGATTGCAAAGAGGGCCTTTTGCGGCTATTCGGGGATCGTAGCTGAGTTCAGAGTTCAGAGGCCGCCGGTGTCACAACAGACATTGTTTTGCGACATGCCCACTGCTCGCCCGTTCATGCCAGGTGCTCCTTGCCAACCTGGTACTTGTGCTGCTTCAGCCGCTGTCTGAGACTCTTCAAGGGGCGGGGTCCGCCGTGCGCGGGGAGCCATGACATGGCGAAGTAAGCATGTGTGGCACATCTTGACACGGTGGGAGGGATGATGAAGACGCCCATTTTGGCCAATTTCGCGCAAGCCCCCTATTGCGGCCCACTGCGCATGTTTCCCGGAGCGAAGACGCCGTTTTCCCACCCTCGGTGTGAAGGCTGATGCTCTGCTCATCGGGAGGCAATTTAAACAACAAATCAATGACCCAAGTCATCAAGTGGTGCCGAATGACTTTACGGGCGCCTTGCAGCCTCTTGGGTTCATAGTGTATCCAACAGGTGGCCATCAAACGGCAATCAAGTGGGACCACACGGGGCGGGGGGGGGGTTGGTGGGGAAATTTGATACAAGGCTCCTTCTTTGTTCCCCTCATGCAGAGAATTCGTTTTTCTCATTTTGAGGAACAAAATGTCAATGCTCCTAAGGTCGGCTTACAACCTCAACGATTGGGGCCCCCAGCCAGATGCTTTCCGAATCCTGGACCTCATCTTTGCATTTGCCTACGTTGGCCGGGACCCTGGGGTTTTAGGGCTCGGGGTTCAGGCTGACATAAGGTCTGACCAACGCGTCACGAATGCAGCAGAGCTCTTTTGACCTTGTTAACGGCACGCAACAGCGCCGATTACAAGCTTGTAGCATCATGTGGAATCTGTTTGGAATCTTATGTTGATGCCTGACAGCGACTTGCTTGTGCCCTGCAGCGTTTAGACAAGCGCAGGTGAGGTCATCATCAAGCTGTCTGCACAGCGCTCAGTCAGAACACAGTCGATGGCCCTCAGACTGCTTTGTGCTCGGTGAATGCTACCCGGCCTTGTCCGACATCCATGCAGGTCAAGTCCTGGGCCGAGTACTGCAGCTTTTGGGCCAACAAGCACCTCGACAGATTTGGCTGAGAAGTTTGTACCACTGAGGCATCCGACTGCCGATGGCAATCACTCACGACAGCATGAGCACTAGACTGATATGGAATCTAATGGTGCTTTGGCCAGTCACACGGAACGCTAAAATTTCATACCAACCCTTACCCAACCCGCACATAGTGACGTCACCAACAAAACGCGCGAGCTACGCTCATCGTCCACATGCAAGGTTTGACTTTTTCACAACTTGGCTGCTGTTAGCGACGACCGTGCTTCCTTATTTGCCGTTTGCGACGGTGCAGGCAGAACCTTGGCATGTGAGATGTGAGCATGAACCGATGTTTGCATTTGTGGGTCCATGATATTGTTAAACGCGAAGTTGCTGACTTCGGATGCCCAGCTGGCCTTCTGGCAGCCTAAAGCCCAAATCACGGGTGTCAGAGCGATGTAAGAGGAGAGTCGCTGAGTAGTTCGCAGGATCAAGGCATGCATTGCGAAGTCACTTCTGGTTTCGTGGATGCTTGCCCGATGAGCTTCAAGGAAATCCAAGCTCCCAGGGCAGACGGAATATTGTGTATTGTACAGCCCAAGGACCTGAAGCATTATGCCAATATCCTCCGGCTCCTCAGACTCATTCGCGTGGTGTGGCCCTGAGACCGGAGGGATAAGTCAGCGAGGAGCAGGGGTGTTCATTTTCAGGGGAACGCCATGTGGTTATTATATCCTCCTGAGGTTGGCACAGTAGCGGTGCATGCGGCTTCGCGTGGTGGATTTGGACATGTTTGGACTGCAGTCTGCGCACCTGCGTAGTATGCTCTCCCTGCGGGCGGAGTGTCGAATCCTAACGAACAGAACGCCAGTAACGTCATCAAAAGGACATCTTGGGCAAATGTCGTCAGCGCCGAAGTCTTCTGAGGTCAAGCAGCTGAAGCAGTTCCCACGAGTGCAGTTCATGGTGCGCACGATCTCGCGCATGGTGAATGCAGCCACTGCCTCAAGGGATCTTCGAGGGTTCTTTCTCAGCTGCTTCATGAAACAAAAAAGCCGGGACAATGCCGCCTTTGCCCTCCACGAAAGTAGCTACAGCGACGACCAAGACAAGGATGCCCAATGCCCACATCTAAGGCTGGTGATATTCTTCAGCTCTTGGGCGTTTTGCTCTTCTTCTTCTCCGCGCTTAGCATGTGGCCGGACTGCAAGAGGTTGCAGCTGCAAGCCCAGACCCCTTGGGAGGATCCAAAAAGTAGATCCCCTTAAGGTGCCCTAAAAGTGGTATGGGGGTACTATTTGGGGGTTCTACAAGTTGGATCCTCCCAAGGGTTTGGGAGAGGGAGTTTGAGCCACGGCGTACTGAGGAATCTGTGGGGCGGAGTCCTGTACGAAGGTCAGCCAGCTCTGAAGGACCCACCACACGCAGCCACACGCATCATCTTGGACACGATGGCAAAATCACAAAAGCTGTTCGAGGCGGTATGTTAAGGAAATTTGGGGAGTTTGCTGGTTCATGTTTGCCCTGCCCAGCTGCGCATGCCTACCACCAACGGCTCAAGCGCTCTCCATTATGTTATTTCAGCCTCCCCAGAGCAGCTATGCAGGAGCTCGATTATGGAAAGAAACATCTGCGACTTGGTCACAGCTCAATGGGTTAGTCTGACCTTGGGCTTGGCACGATGCTCTATCTTGGTTTACTAAACTCTCTGCATGTGACTCGCATGATATGAATAGACAATAGTGTCGTAACAGAAGGCCGCGACCGAGTTACAATCTCAAGGTCCTTACCAGCTGGCCTTCTCCTATTCGGGCCATCAACTCTTGCTTGAAGGTTTGCTACAGGTGATTCGAGTGTTCAGGAGTAAGTCTTGGATTGCACAAAGTTTCTTGTGCTGTAAGACATTTTCCATCGCCCCTAAGTCTATAGTCTATAGTAATCTAGTTCCCAAAACAAGGATGTTGGAGCAATAGACCCAAAGGACAGTTCAGTGGCAAGAGCCTGTAGACCATGACGAATCTGAGCTTGCAGCCCTGAGGTCTTGACAGGGCAGAGTTTAGTTAGGTGTGAGCAAAGGGCAGCAGGAGCTCCAAATGGAAGACGGAACCGAAGTTGCAAGGCAAACGGCATGCCCACCAAGGTATGTGTTCAATTTCAACGACATGTCCATGGCCTTCACCACCTTCTTCGCGCAGCTTCTTAGACCCTTTGCTGAAAAACAAGACCACTTTGGCATTGTTCCTGCTCATGTGGGCAAGGGTCTCATAAGCTCACGGGCTCATATGCCTGTGTTGTCAGATCTTCAGAGTGCAGTTTTGGTGCGAATGGAAGACCAGGGCTTGAGACCCCTACGATGAACAATTAGATGTTCTTCACGTAACTGCGCAAGTCAGCAGCGTTGACGTGGTGGGATGATGTACTGCACGCCGATGCGTTTCGAATGTCCTCAGGTGAGTACGTCCCAGAGAATGCGGATGCCCTTCAGGCGCTCGCAGCAAGTGCGCAGGGCAAATACATTCAAATAACAAAGAGCTGCTGCTTTCCTGTGAGGTTCCTCTGTTCTCCACTCTCTGTAAGCATTCTGCAAGCATCCTGTATGCCTTCAGCCCGAAGCTGTTCATATCAAGTCGTTCTCCCTGTCAATGTAGCTCTGAACAGGCGGCCTCATCCTGGGGGGACGTTGCTTGGTACGTCTTCCCGCCCTTCAGCTGCATGCAGCTGCACACGAGCACGGAAAATTGGTTTCTTGTGATTCTAGCAATCATTGCTCTGGGCTTCCCTGGTGCCAGAATCCTGCAGAAGAAATGAAACAAATTGGATCTATCCTTCTCAGATCCCAGGGCCTTCTATCTCCTCGGCGTGGCGATCATCTTCGAAATCACCAAGGCCAGTCCAAAGGCATTCATGGGTTTTTGGGGTCCCATGATGCTCCAGACTCCTGCTGTGGTTGAGCTGCCAGCAGCCAGCAAGTGCTTGCACTGTACCCGCATAGTGTTCCGAGGCCTTTACGATTGAGTACTACCTGGCCATCAAGGAGGAAGCCGAGGATGAGGAGGCTCCCAGAGCCGGATGAAGGGGATAGCGGCTGCTGTTTCAGCTCATGAGTGAATGAGAGGCTCCATGCTCTTTGCACCCCTTTGGGGTCCAGGAAAAACGATCCGAATTCTGAAATTTTGCCAGGAGAACGAGGAGGAAGAGAAGCCCAGTCAGGTCCGTGAGGCCTGGGAGAATGGTGTGACAGCCTGTCAACAGCTTTGGGTCAAGTCCAGTTGGCCCACAACCGCAGAGCGCGTCAACTTCCCCATTGTACTCCCACTTGCACTGGCTGGGGGGGGAAGGGGTGAGGGGGGGGGGGGGAGGTGGGGGGGGGGGAGGTGGGGGGGGGGAGGGGGGAGGGGTGAGGGGGGGGGAGGGGTGAGGGGGGGGGGGGGGAAGGGGGGGCGAAGTGCAGGGTTTTGGTAGGAATTTCTGAACTCCTTCGGCCTTCGGCCCACACGAACAGATCAAACCCAACCCTATGCACCAACATGATAGAACAACAAGACTAATCGTAAAACAATAAGTCGAAAACAGAAATGGAGTAGCAATCGTAACAACACCAGTGGTAATAGCCATAGCACAAGTAGCAGTAGGTAGGCGGAGGTAGGGAGGAGGTAGGGAGGAGGTAGGGAGGAGGTAGGGAGGAGGTAGGGAGGAGACCTAGGTAAGTACTAGTACCAGGTAGTAGTCATCGTAATCGTAACGGTAAAGCTAACGGTAATGGCAATCCAACCAGGTAATATTTCCAGGCAATAATACCAGGTACTAGGAATGGTAATCGTCAGAGTACTATGACTAGTAGTCATAGTAATAGTCATAGAAGCAGTAAAAGTAAAGTAATAGTGATAGTAACAGTAGGAAAAGCAATAGGAGCAAAAAAATAAGAGTACTGGCAATAGTAGCAGGAACAGGAAAAGTAACAGTAACGGTAATGGTAGTGGTAATAGTATGAGCAATAGTAATGGTAACAGGAAGTGCAGCAGGAACGGTAGCGGGAATGGTAATTGTCAGGGGCTCGTATTGGCAATGGTAATCGTGATGGGAATCGGAATAGTACTAGCAATAGTAATAGGAGTAGTAGTAGCAATAGTAGAAATAGTAGAAATAAGAGTAAGAGTAAGAGTAAGAGCAAGAGCAAGAGTAAGAGTAAGAGTAAGAGTAAGAGTAAGAGTACCAGTAACAGTAAGAGTAAGAGTAGCAGTAACGGTAACAGTAGCAGTAACAGCAACAGCAACAGTAACAGCAACAGTAGCAGTAGCAGCAGCAGCAACAGTAGCAGTAACAGTATCATTACATGAAGATAATACCGGTCGCAAACTGGCGCTTGCAGGAGCTCGAGGCGCGCCGGGGCCCGCGTTGGCTCACGTTCTCATTGGGTCCTTCGATTGGCTTTTACGATGAATTTGAGTTGGGATTCAGGGTTGAGGGTTTAGCACGTACAGGGGCTCAAGAGTTTTGATGGGCTCAGGGGGTTCACAAGGGGGGCTTTTGGAGTACAAACAGCCCTTCCCTCCTCTGCTCTGGCTGATTCAAGCTGAGGCGGATAAGTTCTCATGATACATGATCGTGATGCGACGCTCCTGGCGCACCTTCGAAAGCACAACCGAGAGCAACACTCTTACCTTCAGCTGTAGGCTGGAATGTGTGGAGGATCTGGATACATATCGCCCCTCCCTTCTTCCCGGGCTTCACAGTGCAGCACTGCACTCGGGCTGTGCAGGCACAGCTCCGGGTCATGGACAAGTTACAGTCGACCCTGGAGGCCTTTCAATGCCTTGGAACTTCTACTTTCTTGTGCCATTGTAACATGCCGACGTCGTGCACCTCCAGGGTTTGCATGCCCCCTGCCAGGAAAGGAGACTAGACCTTCACTATACCATGAAGAACGACTCGTTCAAGTTTCAGCATGCCCTGCAGAAGGCTCGTCGCCGCATTTCTCTTCATGCGAGCGATTCCCATCACCGCACACGCGTGATCTATTTCCCGAAACGTCCGCCTTCCAAAGCTGGAGCTCAATTGTCAGGCCTATGATAAATGCTTGGGGCCAAGCCGGCCACCAACCCCACCGCCGAATGGTCACCACCATTGAGCAGCAGCTTCACGAGCTGCATTCGTGCATTCATCACCCCACACTAGATTCCCCCCCTTGTGGAAGGAATGAAAACCTCTTTCACTAACTTCTTTCAACTTGATGTTTTTCGCTTGCCCCTGAGTGCCAGGGGTACCCTGAAGTAACGTTTGCCTTAGCTCACTGGGTCGATCAGCCGAGTTCCCACGGACTTGCTTCCTGTGGGCAAGGGTGGACGTTGACTCGCGCAGGTCTTGTACAGTAGTTGTGATCACGTTGAGGCGTGACCAAACGATAGTCTGCCACTGGCTCGATGTCAATCCGTGCAAGTGAGCCGTGGGCTGACGATGGCTGAGAAGACCTGGCCGATAACCACTGGCTTGGCCTTGTCTTGCGACACAGTTGCACGGAATGACTTCAAGAGCGTGGCGCAAGCACAAGGCTGTTCCACCTTGCTTTGGCACATCATCTCCTCAAAGTCGCAAGTTTTGCTCGTAGTTGTCAGCTTGCTCAGGAAGCATGTTCGCAAGAGGAGGTTGATGGATGTTGATGGTGTTTCTAGAACTGTTGCAGACAGGGCGCTCGTGTAGGGTGGTGACGGACAAGTGGTGTGTGTGTGTGTGTGTGTGTGTGTGTGTGTGTGTGTGTGTGTGTGTGTGTGTGTGTGTGTGTGTGTGTGTGTGTGGGTGGGTGGGTGGGTGGGTGGGTGGGTGTGGTGGGTGTGTGGGTGTGTGGGTGTGTGTGTGTGTGTGTGTTGTGTGTGTGTGTGTGTGTGTGTGTGTGGTGTGTGTGGGTGCGTGCGTGCGTGCGTGCGTGCGTGCGTGGGTGTGTGTGTGTGTGTGTGTGTGTGTGTGTGTGTGTGTGTGTGTGGGTGCGTGTGTGCGCGCGTGCGTGCGTGCGTGCGCGTGAGCTGCAATGCCGGTTTTTCCCAAAGATAGAGGTACTCCTAGGTTGCCTCAAACTGCGACAATCCTTCTTCGCCCACTTCTCGGAAACCTCCATGTGCACAGCTGATCAGTGGACACAACCCAGTGCTTGGCCGGCTCACGGCGCTTTTGCTGCGGGAGGAGGCGTCACTTCAGAGGTCTCGCAAGCATCACACCGAATCACACCTACCGGACCGCCGGACTCCGCCGGACTATCGTGGTGACTGTAGTGTGATCCTGTTGTGCTTCTCATCAGCTCTCCGAGAAAAAAACAGCAGACACTTGTGTCTCCAGCTTGGATAAACTCCGATCTCGCTGTCTCGCAGAATTGCCGTGTGCCGTCCTGAGCATATCTTGGTGGTTGCAGAACGGCGCCGTTCTGCAGACCAAATTAGCCGGTTCACTCTGCCCAACATGGCAGTCAGGCACCAGCGGCCCCCTTCCTCCGCCCATTCGATCCATTCGTGGGCAGCACTTCCCCCGAAGTCTGCATTTCTGCATCTTGGGAGGTCGGCATTGATTTTTACAGCAGACCCGAGGTAAGCATGTTCATGGCGGAGCCAGATACAAAAGGCCGCTGTGCTCGGCTTGCACCAAGTCTAGGCTCGTGTGCTTGTAGGCCAGTCGCAATTGTGGCCCCCTCTGCGCTAAGCCGCTAGGCCATGTATCCCTGCTTATGATTCAGCCTCAGTCGAAGCACCCTCCAAGTTTGCGGCTTCTGGGACCTGGTTCAGCAGAGCTTGGAACGAGCCACAGACTCGCTGCAGCCTCGTAGACCTCGGGATGATCCAGACAGGCCATGATAATTTCTATGAGCGGCCTAGGGCAGCTTTGGTCATCTCAATTTACTACGAGACCAATCAGACCATGACTAAGCGACTAAGTCCTTAACCTGAGCGGGGAAACCGTCGCAAACCGCCTGAAACCGGATTTCATCGAGCTTTGCGACTAGCCCTGCATTGTGCCATTGCCTAGCCTGGTGCAGCCATGCATCCCGATGGGAAGGCACGGAACTGCCCTGATATCACCTGGGTGCTGCACAGCTGTTTTGGTGACCCCGACCCTGACCCTGATGCCATTGTGAGGCTCAGGGGAAGCGACGTGCTGGCAGGCCGCCGTTCATGGCTAGTGGGTCAGGCTTCTCTTCCTACACATGGAATTGAGACTGTCAAAAACTTGCATGACAGCAAGGATGGAACCCAAACCATGATGGTTGCACACTTCTCGATGTTGCTTGCCGTTTGCCTCGCATGAATTAAATTACTTTGCTCCTCATGTCTCCCTTGCCCCATTTGCATGTCATACATCCGGCACACCAAAGAGAAGGCGAGTTGGCGAGACGTTGGTCGTTGGTGTGATGCCCAGCATATGCCAGCAGTACGAGTTCTGGACTGAGGGCGCGGCAGTGTTGTGGCTTTGGTCTAGTTGTTTTGCTTCTGCAAGCTTTCAGCTCGCATCCCGCTGCCATCTCAGAGACGCATGAACAGTTCGGTGCCCTGCCACCATGGACAGCAGCCACCAAGATGTCGAGGCTGGGATCGTTCTTCACAAGGACACGTTGCTTGCACCAGCCTATCATGGACAGTTAGAGGTTTCGACCGTTCAGACCCACACGGAAGTCCGCACACAATCTTCGAAGGTCTTCCAAAGAACTGTTTCAACAGTCTCGGCAGCCGAGCCGAAACGAGCGGTCAAGGGCACTGTCATTCTTCCCCACAATCAGGCATTGCCCACAATCGTCCAACTCCAGTTTCCACGCAAATCCTCCCCTCACGCTTTTTCAGATTCCTCGGCGCCGCTCCGCGCCCGCGGCCTTAGAGGCGGCCGGCGCCGCGCTGGCAGCGGTTCGTGAGGTCCGCGCGCGGGGCGAGGCCGGAGTTTTTGTCCTGACTCCTTCTGACGAGAGGGCATCTCAAGCAGAGGGATTCCACGATTCCTTTTTTTTGAGTAGGTGTACACTTCTATCCTGCAATTTGCCTTTGTTCATTAGATAGCCACATCAGGCTACGAATGCGGAAGAATGCAGACCCTTGCAACGTTTTGCTAAAGAGCCAGGCGAAGGCTCGAAGCGCCTCGACTCCTTCGCTGCGCTCGGGAAGCGCTCTGAGAGGCAGGGCGAAAGGGAGGCTGTAGGGTTCTCGGATGCTTTTGGGGTGTTTGGGTTCTGAGGTTGTTGCAGGTACTTGTGGGGGCTGGGCAGTGCTGCATGGCTTTAGAGATGGAAGATTCGCAGAACCCTACTCTTCGGTTTGGCCATGACATGACTGACACGGCTGCCACACTGTGTCGAGTGTCGAGAAATTGTATGACGATGCGCGCATGGACAACAGTTTCCGCGTCTCCGTCTCTCGTTCTCTTTCTTGCGCATCTGGCGCCTTGTTTCTATCACGCTACGACCGCTGCGCTCTGCAGGCTCTCCGAGCAAGCGCGGTGGCTCGAAGCGCAGCCCCAGCAAGAGTGCCTTGGACTGCAGGGGTGGCACAGCGTTGTGAGCCGAAGCCAACAGAGACACTCAGAATCATACCCGCCGGGCTCACAAAGCATTTGTGAGTTTTTCACTTTCGTGGAGTTTTTTTGGCTACGTAACACTTTCGGCGCCCAGCAATTTTTTCCACTACCCTCCCAACCTTCTCGGCTTGTCTTGAGCCAGCCACGCACCCTGACTGAGCAAGTTTAGGTTCTGGCGCTGTTTCGGGTGATGTCTGCTCCCGACAGTCCGCCAGCCAGGCCAGCGGCCGTTCCGCAGTTTCAAAGGGGGGGGGGGGACCTCGGAACACACGAAGTACACACTGCATGGCTGCATGGACAACAACACGGATTGTCTTCAGGCCGTACATCCATAAAGCAATCAAGCTTCCCTGCCTCGACCTTCGCCCAGCGGTTGTCGGGACTAATGGAAGAATCGAGAGAGCCCTCAACTTCCACAACAACGGCGGCGTATTGCTTGTGCAGGAGAAGGTGCTTCGAGCTCTCGTGCCATGTGTTGCAATGAGCTTCGCTGACCATGTTTGTTTGCCCATAAGCCTGGAGGTGAGAGAGGGCTGTAAGCAGTGCAAGCAGCGCAAGCAGCGCAAGCAGTGCAAGCAGTGCAAGCAGTGCAAGCGGTCAGTGTGAGGCTGGTCCACGAATCTCGGTGGTTAAGAATAGAAACCTTAAATCAGTCCCACATCCCAAACAACTTGTACACAGCCGAGCTCCGGGTGTTTGGGGAGGGGGGCGCTGCTTGCTCCGAGCGCCGGGGGAGAGGAGCCCCTGCTGTATTGTGTGCAATTGCTACATGGATGCCTGGGGAAGGCTACTGCTGCGGACACAAAAATGCACTGTCTCTCAAACATTTCTCTTCAGCACCATGATCCGTCGGCTCTAGAGGGATAGGTTGAGAGTTGACACATGTACTGGAGGGGTTTCAGGTTTTAAGAAATGTAAAGGTCATTCGAACCATCTGTGCAGTAGCCCAATGTGCGTGCGATACCCAGAGGTGCAGAACTTTACCTCAGAGCAGTCGGTCCACGATGTTGCTGTCAACCTCTTGGGCGACTTCGCAGCAACACAGTCTGCTCAATATGCTGGCTTCTTGCTCCAAGAAGGGTGTTCCATCCGGCAACTCCTGAATCGTAGCTTTGAAGCTTTCTGTCATGTGGTTGCGTTGAGCTGGAGCTCTCAGATAAAGCGCTCAGTGGCAAATGATTGAAGGCTTGCGTTGGCTCACACATTGGTTCGCACGTTTGGTCGCATCCGAACCCCTAGGTCAGATCCACTCTCAGGAAGGGGCTCTCGCCTTCACGCGAGAGAGCATCCTTCAGGCACCTCCTTCGACACTATTGAATCACCATTGTAGATACTCCTGCTCAGCTGTAGGAGAGTGCCTTTTGCTATGTAAGCGAGGGAGTACCTCGCGGAGACCGCTCGCGACTCTTGACACAGTGCTGGTCTACATTTTTTGTGTTATCGTTTCGTAGTTATTGCTATAAGGCAGTTACTGCATCAACACCCGGCGAAGGCTGTGGATGGTAGTGGGACACTTTTGAAAATGGAGCCTCCTAATTGCTCGCCTACTTTCCAGTGACAATGCACACGTCATTCAGGAAATTTCCGATCCTGGGCACTTTTGCGCTAGGGACATGAGAAGTGCAGAGCTTCTGCACCAACAGGCAGTGGTTGCTTCAGAGGCTTCTCTGCCGAAGCCCCAGCAACAATTTCAATGGCTTCTTCAAAGGCCAGATACCATCTGGATTTGCCCATCTTCATTCACTTCCCCGAAGGCGACTACATAGCTTCAAATCCTGAATGCTGCTGCGCAATGGCTCAAGCTGTGATCGACTCGCACGGTATGTGCCGTTAGAGGTGGAAGTCTCATGAACAGCTTCGTCTTCAACCAAAGAGCCATGCAGACATGCTTTACCTTCAGGCTTGGGGCTTCATGCCGCAAGGGGAAGAAGGGCATCTATTTGGGTGATCAGATGTAGACAAATAGCTTGACACTTCTGCCCAGAAGCATTCAGAGCTAGACTTTTGTGACAATTTGTGAGCCAACATTGCTTAGAACTCCGGCGCTCGGAGTTGCCATGAGGGCCTCCATCCTTGCCACTTGGCTATGGTGCACTGCCTCGGCGGTGCACGTGGCATTCGTGGCACCTCCATTCTCCCACTACGCGCCGCGCGGGCAGAGTTTAGAAAACGTACCTGCCCTTTTCTTCCGAAGACCTCACCTTCCCCCTACTGCGTCAGTGTCCTTCCTCAGAGTCCTCATTTCCTCTCAAAGAAAAACTCAACCAAAATCCCGAATCCGTACACCATCCTCATTGCTGGAGGGAGGCATCAGGAGCCAGGGCCTTTTCCAGCTCAGGCCAATGCTGCCGATTGCCCACGGTCTCCTAGATGAAGGCCATTCGGTAAGCTTCCTGGCCCACGACGAAACGGTCAAAAAGATCAAGAGCCTGGGCCGCGAGACTCACACAGCGATGCAGGTAGAGTTCCAGTCCTGTACAGGGGGGAGCCCACCAAGCAAGGGTCCGAGGGAGGTCCCAGAGAGGTCCAGGGCGGGGGGGTGTGGACAGCAAATTGAGAGGGGGAAGGAGACCAGATCGGCGAATGTCAGCACGAATTCCAGCACAAGTAAACGCAGAAAGGTCGCCCAGCTCAGGATGTTGGTGCCGCAGGCCACTTTGGTGGACATCGGCTCCTCCGGGTTTGACCGGGAGAAGGGAGCGCCAGTGCAGATGCTCTGCTGCAGATTTGTTCCTGAGTTGGGCGAGTGCGTAAGCGAGAACAGCCTAAACCTTTCAGCCCTATGCCCTGCCAGGGAGGCCCTGCAGACTGTGTCGTACGGGGTGGCGCAATTCCTCTCGTCCCTCACCATGCCGCTGTTGGGCAGCCTGCTCGGAGGTGACAAGGGAGGGCTGCGACTGCAACATGCATATTTTGAGAAGCACAAGTGGAGATGGCACTGTGCTCACAATGACATGTCTTCAAATGTCTTCACATGTTTTCGTTTGTGTTCACAGATGTTTCGCAGCTCTGGGTTCATCCCGAATGAAGAGGAGGATAAAGAAGGCTAAGATCCCTGAAGGCTCCATGGCGCTGACGCTGAAGCCACACCTGATGGAGTCTTGGCGCGTCTGAGAAGCAGTGGTCTTTGAACGTGAACATGCTCGAGCCACAGCTTTATTTGAGGAGATGAGGCCTGACGTGCTCTGCGTGTCCTTCATTTATCCTGCCCACTACGCCTTGGGGGAGGTGCGGGGAGGGACGACGGATTCAGGGCCGGGCCGGAGCACTCAAACTGCCCTTGAACTCTGATTTCAGCCTTGCAGCTGTGAGTGCCGGCAGCGTCGTACTCTTGAGAACTTCAGTTTCGAAGCCCCTCTCCAGGCATTGGGCATACCGGTCGTGGGCATCGGTTGGGGCACACCGAGCTGGCTAACTTCCCAGACACTGGGCATTAGCTTGCCGAGCTCTGAATTGTTTGAGCTTCAGCTCTCAGCCCTCAGCCCTGGCCTCAGCCTGGCCTGTTTCAGATATTTCACCTAGGATCGACCTGCCCTGGGCCACCGAACCCAACGTGGGGTCCATCCGCTCGCGCCAGGCTGCGGGGTCTCAAAGCTGGCCCAAGAAGCCCCCACAAAACCACCCAATCATCATCTTGTACACCTAACCCCCCTCTTCAGGCACAGCAAATGCGGCTCAAGAGTTCCCCACCACAAATCTGCTGTAGCCACAATCTCGACTGACAAGTGGATAGAGCCGTTCGCTCTTCCCAGGAGCTCTATGATAGCCCTCTGCTGTTGCTGGAGAACACCATGGTACGCATCTTCGGTTTTTTTGCCTTGCGCACCTGGGCAGCATCATCACTGCGTCTAAGGCATGCTACTGCAGCTACTGCAATCCTGGCAATTCAAACTGCAGCTCTGACATGGAATCTGATTTGATCACAAATGTCCCAGACAACAACACCGCGGGCTTGTACACATGGTTTAAAGGTGCAAATGCGAAACGTGCTTTGAGGATAGGAACTGCAGTTCCAGCGTTGATTTCTTGCCTTTGGTTGGCTTCAGCTGGGACTTTGGCGTGGTTGTTGCCGCTGTGGCTTGTTTTCACAAAAGGAGGTACCTGTGAAGGCGGAGACGTGAAACTCCCTAACACACAAACTAGACCCCACCCCCTTAAAGCGCTTTCAGCCCTATAGGCCTCGACTCCGAAAGTCTCACCGGATCGCCCTCTCAAGCTGTCAAGTAAACCTGAAAACCAAACCCCTCAGCCAGCCTTCAGCCCCTAAGCCCTGAACCAACCTTCTTGGCAGCTTTCATCCGCGAGCGCGCTCGCAATGCTTCACGTCGACTGCTCTGAGTGCAAAACTGCCAAGAGTTGAGGGCAAAAGTGCCGAAAGGGGATGAGCTGTTGGATTGGATCGGGGTGAGCCGCATCCACGTGGGTTCGTGGCAGTCGCGCCAGAATGAAAAAGACAGCACTTGAGCTCCAGGCATCGCCAGCGTCCTCAACATGCACCCCGGCAAGAAACTCTCAGCTCACTTTAGCCCTTCTCCTCCTTGTTACCTCTCTCAAAAACCTTCCACTTGCACTAAGGCTTCACTAAGGGGTAGCCCAGGTACTTGCGCTACCGCCTCGGGCATCCTCGGCCCTTGGAGGCAGGGGCACAAGACGCGCCTAGACCTCCGAATGCATTGAGCAATCACACCACTTCGCGCTGGGTTCCCGGTCCTTTCTTAGAGTGAGCGGGGAAGAAATGTGGGGCAAGACCCTCCAAATCTTGCTCGGCCTCCAGGGTTTGGGGAGTTCATCGCCCGACAGCCGTCCGACAGCTGTAGTCACTGCGGTCAAGAGCTCTGTCGGGGCAAGACCTGTACGTCAGCTGCCGTGCAAAAGCACTCGGAAGATATGTCCTTTCTTCGGCCGCATGGTGTATTGCACATCTCAGTAACATGTTGCTTGCCTCGCCTCCGCGTTGCACCAGATTGAAGCGCCTCGCTGAGAGGTGTGGGAGTTTGACACCGTCCTACAGCACCCAGCCATCATCAGCACCCTTCCAGAGTCTGGGCGGCTGTCTCGAAGGTTTTGATAGCGCCACCGGCGCCACCTCTGAAGGACCTCATGAGTCTAAGCTTTATTGCGATGAACCCCAGCCCAGGAACTGACCACAGGCATGCCGACTGCCTGGAGCCCATACACGCTTCTCGGCAAAACTATGTCTCTGTGTGCTCGAAAGAGCTTACCAGGTCATCCCCCCATCCATGAAAGCAGCTGGCCCTATCCCAAGTTCAAAGCTCACACCCGAGTGCTTGTGAAGGTTCACTGTCGGCATCCTGGACCACCCTGCGCTCGCGGGGAGTGGCATGATGAAGAGTGATGACCAGGACGTGGAAGCTGTCGATGTGCATACCTGTACAGAAGCCCTGCACTCCGATTCTCATGGTCTTCAGACTTCGTTATGGGGGGGGGGGCGATTGTCTTGCAGAGTTCGAGTTCAGAGATCACATTCATGCTTAGGGTCCATGAGCGAGAACGGTCAGGGCAACAGTTTGGCCAGCCACCTGAATGCCTTAAGCTCGAAGGTTTGATTGCCTCACCTCTTGCCAGGAAAGGGTCATGGCCTGGCTCGATGAGCAGCAAAAGGCCTCAAGAGAGGTTCTCTATGTGGCGTTTGGCTCCGAGGCAGATCGACATCTTGGCATTGCACTTTGTGCATTGTCTCTGTTTTGTGTTATGCTTCTTTTGGTTCGTCATCTTTGGTGTGCCTCCGTCGAAGTGTTCCCCTCCCACAAGGTCCGCGTGTCAAAGACGCACGCGGTGCTGCTGGCGGAGACATTTAAAGCAGGCGGCTTCACTGTTCTCTGGGCTTCCAAAGTGAAGCCAGATGTGGCCCTCCCGGACAGCGTACTGGTGACGAGATTTGCACCTCAGCGTGCAGTCCTTGCCCATCCGGCTGTCTTCGGCTTTTTGTCACACGGTGGCATGAACAGTGTGAACGAAGCCCTAGCCTTCGGCAAGCCCTTGGCCATCATGCCCTTCTTCGGGGATCAGATGATGGTTGCTGTGGTGCACAGAGAGCTTGGGGTTGCCGTCGTCTTGGACAAGCTTTCCGCCACTCCAGAGGATTTTGTTGCAGCCATCCGCAAGATTGCGACGGAGCCCTTCCGCCGACGATCGTGGGAAATTAAAGAGCTGAACGATCAGCGCCGTGACATGTCTAGGGCAGTGCAGGTCATCGTCAACCAGGCGACAGGAAAGTTCCACTTGCATATACCGCCGTGCCCCAGCCTGTGGATCCGGTTGATGCCACTTTTCATCGGACTGATCTTTTGGGCGGTGTACTGCGACCTGTGCTGCTGTATCAGAGTGCATGTACACAAACCATGGTGGTGCTGCTGCTGTCGGGGGAGGGCTTTGCCCCCCAAACCGGCTGGAAGCAAGAAGAATCAGTAGGTTCAATAGATCGATTGCTAATTTGATGTTTGGCCGATATGGCCGACTGCCCATGTCAAGACGGCTGCGACAGCTTTAGTGTAGCTACACGCTTCAGGCGGTTGATTGATTGCACAGATCCACTGAAAACAAGACTTGCGAGAGCCGAAACATGCCAACGCGCATCCAGCTTACGCCAACACCGGTATGAGATATGCTTCTGATCTCAACTTGACCTACCTTTGCTTGCTGCTCCCTGCTGCAAAGGCTGCCAGCTGGGAGCAAAGTGGACACTCCGACGTGGACTGGTGCCCCGACGTCACGGAGCTTGCGATCGTTAGCAAGTTGAAGCGTGGCAAGCTGGGGCATGGCATTTCGTAAAGTGCGGTGTGTGTCGCAAGACAGAATCTGTGCAGCACAGGTGGACTGGTTGATTCCTCAGACGAGGCAGAGAGGGCGAGAGCGCTGCATCTGCGATTGCGGTCAGCGGTAAGGGCATTGCTCGTAGCTGGAGAGCCAACTTTCCCTACATGACTCTTGCACACTTCAGTGATGTCCTACATGTCATTCGAATAGTCGTCAGGGTAGGCATCCCTACTTAGTGCCTCTTTGCACCGTTGCACCCCTTTCAGTCTTGCCTCAGCCTTTCGCAGAACCCTTCGTCGGCGCTGCTGCTTCCAAATCTGCTGCCCGTTCGCAGCCCTGCTGGTCTGCAGCGCAAGCAGCCCGACATGAACCAAAGGCACAACCGGGCTCTGCGTCAGCCGGACGTACTTCAGACATTGTGCCACGTTGAGGTTAAACGCGCTTCCTGCCAACTCCCTGCGAATGAAGCCCCCCCGCCCACCGCCCTTCACGGCAGCCCAGTACACGCTGCCAGTATAGTAAACTCGAGACTTTGAGCATCTCAGCATCCCTGAACTGGTCGACAGTAGAGTTCGCAGCAAGGTGCTCCTCAAGGTCGAAGCAGGCATCAGGCCTGTCCGAAGGGTTATTGTTTAAGGTTCTGAGGCATAAGTGCTACGAAAGGTGCAAGTGGTTTAAGGTAGGGGACTTAGGGTCTGGATGTTCAGGGTCTTGGCGTTTACAAGAAAGATTGGTCCAGGGTTGACGGTTCAAGACTTGGCATGCACCCAACCTTGGTCTATCCTGCAAAGTTCATATCTTGATCGTTGGGGAATCTTTTTGCCGGTCGAGCGTGCCCCCTGAAACAGGTTTTGGGGCAAGTGTGTCGCCCTGGGACCCGGAGCCTCCACGAAGGAGTGGTTCCAAAGCCTCAGTGGGTGAGGCGCGGTTGTGGCTACTTTGACCCGGCGTTGAGCGGAGCTGTCTGGGTACGGTTGAATAGCTGTGCCTTCGCATAGAGAGACACATCACATGTAACGCTCATCAGCCCAAGTTCAGCCCACATGATGCCTTTCAACACATCGGACATCGGAAAGCTCACCCATACCCTCACAACGGAGACCGGAGTTCGGAGTGTTTTGTTTCGACAATTGGCTCTTTGCGAAAGGGTTCTTTGAAGCAGGACCCGAAAGGCCCCTTATGACCCCTTATGGCCATTTGGTCCGCAGGCCGGGACGTCAACCTTCAGCTCCAAGCCCCAAATCTTCGTCTCCGCGGTTCAGCTTCTTGGACTTAGGGCACGTGCACCACTGCTCTTGGGTTCCCCTACTGCCCCCCTCTATACTACCCCCCCCCCCCCCCTTAAGTTCCCACCTTAAATGACCCTAATTAAGCTTAAGGTATCCCTGAATAGCCTTAATTGTGGGGGAATCTAGGGGGGTAGTATAGAGGTGGGTAGTAGCTGAACCCATGAACTGCAGTAGTTGGGTAGGGGCATTCAGTTCTGTTTACGTCCCTTCCGTTAATGGCTTTTCGTAGGTCTGAGCCTTTGATTAGGCGGGCTTGGGATGCCTCCTCGCGGACAGCCAAACTGCAAGTCATGTATACCACAAGTCCTCACCCCCACACACAAAAAGTTCTCGGTCATTCCTTAAAACCTGCAGTCCTCCGATGTGCTGGTGCCCTCAAAAAAGGGGACGTATGGTAACAGGGTGCCAAAAAGGGCCCACCGGACCGACTGATCTGTTTAAACAGTCATGTCGAAACAGGATGCTCGTATCACGGAGCACTCTCCACTTCCATGAAGTGGCCGGACAGTTCCTTGGTCGGAGCGTGTTCCTTTGGGGGATTTGTGGATTCAGAACAGTGAAATTCCTACTCGGGCAGCTTCTTCTCATGGTGACAGCTCGTGCTAGATGGTTCTGCCACCTCCCTCTCGAGTCTGGCAATGTAGTACTACTGTAGCAGCAAGATGCGTGGCTGGCAGATGCCCTGCACCAGTTGCTGTAGGCACACTGACTCCTGGTGCCACCTGCGATGCCACTTAGGATCCTCTTCCGACACCGACGCAGCTCCGTGATTCAGGAGGGAAAGCTGGGGATTTAACTTTGAAGAACCAGGGTCTTCACTTTTTTTGATTCGTTTATGTTACATCAGGGGGCCCAAGGTGTTGCTCATTCGATTGAACTGCCCAGCTTCCTTCCCAGTACGTCCCAGGAGCGCAAAGACTTTCGCAAGGTAGCGGAGGACCTTTCGTGGGTCTTCCGCCAGTCGTCCAGTCGCCCAGCTGAAGATCTCAGAGGAGCAGTATCATCTGCACCCTCACAGCCCCACTTGACGTCGACATGTCGCCAAGGCGACACAGAAAGCGAACAGAAGGAGGAGGGCCAAAGAAAACGCTGGGTGGACGCTGTCTTCGAGCGACCTGCCTGCAAACGTCCAAGAACTTCACCTGTCGTCACTGGAGTCACTGCCGCTCCTAAACCCTCACGGATCTCAACTCCAGAGTCTCATGCTTCTGCATCTGCAGCTTATTCAGCTTCTGGCATGCTCTGAAATCTGAAAGTCTGTGGCGCTTGTGGAGTCCCTGGTAGTGGCTATGACACATGAGAGGCTCCTGAGACCATGAGGCTCGTATGTGCCGGCTTTCCCGGTCTTGTGCCACGTAAAATTGGCAAAAAACCTGTAAAAGCGGGGCGTCTTTTTGTGCTGCTTGCTTGTGCCGCTCAGGCATATGTGCGTCAAAGGTGAGTTTCGGTTCAGAGAATGGCAGAAAGTTGTGGGAGGCTCAGTTTCTTCGGCCACTGGCCTTCCCCAGGTAGTGAGCTACTGAACATCACCGTGAACCCGAATGCGAGTTTACGAAAATAGGGGACCCCTAACATAGACCCTCTAATAGCAATATTCCCTTATAATATGGGCCCCAAAAAGGACCCCAATAATAATAAGAACCCTAGTAAGGTACCCCTCCCGAATGAGTCCAAGAGCTGAGGTACAGCTGATCCAGAGGAACCCCATCCTCAAGAGCCGTGTTCGCCTCTCCGATGCAGACCGTCTCTTCTACAACATCACCCACCGGGACACCGAGGACGGGCCACGATGCAACAACCCGCAACAAACCCGTAACAACCCTCAGCAACCCTCAGCAACCCTCAGCAACCCTCAACCCTAAACATCCCCTCGGCCCTAGAGAGTTAAGGCCTACAGACACCCCTCAACCCCAAAACAACCCCAGGCCCCAAATCCTGAGCCCCTAAGTCTTCAAAAAGAGTCCGGGAGCCAGGCCAGGAATTCGCTGACCTCGGCCCGTGAGTTCCGCGAGCTGCTGATGCACCGCGGCAAAGAGAGGGCGTGACCTCCTCATGGATGTTCATGGGGCTTAGGGTCCTTAGGGTCTCAAGGCTTTCTACGGCGTATGGCGCCATTCAGGGGGCTTGTTGAGAATTTAGGGGCTTGAGAAGTGCATGCTGGGCTGCGGAGTGTGCTCTGTGCTATCGGAGATCAGCCAGAGGCAAAGAGCAGGCAAGGAGGTAGGCTACGCGCCTACGACAGCAACCTAACGAGGCTTCCAAGCGTCAAGAATCACTTCGCGCAAGGTGCTTGGCGGAGGCTTGCGAGATCCATCCAGCTGCTGGGCTCAAGTCTTCGGAGCTTTCAGAGCTCAGAGGCTGAATTACGCAGAGCTTCAGGGCGTCAAAGGCTTCCAGCAGTGAGCCATCAGATTTCCAGCCCCCGAACCGAGGGCGTCATGTTCTACGCCGTTGGCTGCCCATGCCCCAGCTCATTGTGTGCGCTTCAGATCTTTGCGCAAGGGAGGCTTTGAGACCTTAAATCAAGCAGTCCCAGCCAAGAAAGCGCTACGTAGGGTTACTTCTCACGAAAGCTAGCGGAGTGCTTGAGTTTTGTAGTGCTTAAGCAGGTAGGGTCGGACAAGGTATCATCATGGGTCGGACAAGGTGTGGAAAGCTCAAGAAGGTGTGGAGAGCTACGAGCTAGTGATTGTGTCATAGGATGAGGGGGGTCAAGATTAAACGGTTCACCACCATCTCCATCCTTATTGATGCTTTCAAGAGAACCTGGCCTTTTGGGAGGGGGTCGAGGGGAGCGGGAATCCATATTGGTTTGTTCACTGGTTCAGGAGTTTGGGAGTTCAGGTTTTTTTTTTTCAGCATTTCGGGTTGAGGGGTTTAGGAGCTTAGGGCTTTCAGGTTTTGTGCTTTACGGGTTTGGGGGAAGGGGTTTGGGGCACAGGGGATTGGGAGTTTGAGGTTGGGAGCTAGGGTTTTAGCTCAAGTGCCACGCACTTGAGCTAGGTTTCGTTGTCCTCGGCTAGCCCCTCAAGTTTATTCTATGTATTGGTGTATTTTGCTTATATGTAGCACGCAGCCCAATGCTATACACCAAGAACACGACATGAACGCTTTGTCTGCTCAGGTCACGATCGCTCGTTGGCGGAGGCAGCACTTGACGCAAGGGTGACATGCTAAGACGGCTGCCTGCCCAAACAATTTTGTCTCTCACTGCTTCTCTGCAGAGACTCAGGGCCTCAACTAATTGGCAGCATCCAGTCCTATTCAGTGCGCCCTCCTGCAGTGAACTACGTGGACAGGGAGGCTCGGGCCACAGGAGTTCTGAGTCTCCCCGCGTCCTTGCATGAGATTGGTCGTGGAAGGCCCCCCCCCCCCCAAACCCAAAGCCCCATTCCTGGGCATGAGTTCTCTTGACATTCAACGTCAATGTAACGCCCACACCGCCGGAGTGGTAGTGGCGCCGTCTATCCCCACCCCCCCACCCCCCCCTCCCCCAAACCTAATCCCAGAGCCCTCCATACACAGGGGGGGGCCGGGCCCTGACTACGGAAACTTGTACCCTGATTTGGAGCCAACCGTTTCAGGAAGCCAGGCCAGCGTGCTTCAGGGTTTCACGGTAGGATTTATACGGTTTAGAGTTTGGGTGTGTGGCTTTAGGGTGTAGGGTTCCAGGTGCAAACGTTAGGGGTTCAGGGAATGGGGAACTCACCGCCGGATGCCGAGGATGCCGTTCTTGGCAAGAAGTTCATGAATTAGGTGCCCAGCAGCCAGGCAAACCTTGCGGCTCCCTTTTTCTCAGAATAGGCCGTCTCGTCTTCCAGTCTGCGCCGGTGTCCCGAACCCTAGCATCTGGCAAAGGCACCCAACACCCCTCGCAGCGAACACATGGGACCCAGGACTAGATGGAAACTCTTGTACCTTCATATAGCCAGAGGTAAGCAAACCTGTGTCAACAATGGTTGCTCTCTCGTCCAGTTTTCCCCAACGAAGTACCTCTTTCGACAATTGCGCGCTCGGGGGTGGGTCTCAAACTTCTGTGTGAGTTTGACCCGCCTTCATGGCTTGCCCGCGAGGGATGAGCTCCACCACCTCTGTACAGTCTACATCATTTTATTGAAGTTTTTCTGTACAGCCCATGCTGGGGACTGAGAAGGCAAAATCCGAGACTAGCTGGGGTCTGTGACTTGCTGATGATGGTTTGTTGGCTCTGCGATTTCGTTGGACACTGCTGCGCTTGAAGCAGGGCGCGCAGGGGTCCTCATACTCACCTCAGGAAACCCAGACGTGGCAACGTAGTCCTGGCAGGTCAAAGATGATCAGCCACTTTCACGATTCCTGTGGTCCAGCAGCAGATCAGCGTCCCCCTCGTTACTGTCTTGGCTCTCTTGGGGTAGATGTGCTGTTGCTCGGCCTTTTTTCAGTCCAGCTTGTCAACTTGGAAGACGGCTGGTTGGGACATCTCGGCTTCAAACGGTCGACCTCCCGAAGCTGGGGAGCTCGCACTTGTGTGCTGAGATCACGGCAATAGCTGGCCGCAGCAGCTCGGGCTGGCAGCACAAAGAGAAGGGAAAAGGGGATCAGAAGTCCCGGCCTGTGCAGAGCCTCACTGCTATCGAAGGTCATGCACATGACTGCTACATGCCCAAAGCTCCAAGGCATGCTTGTTGCAAGTATCAGAAGATGCCCAAACTGCACCCAGTTGATGTGGGGCTTTCCGAAATTAGGGGTACCTTATTGGATTGGGTTCTGAGAAGGGAATCCTACTATTTGGGGTCTTTTTCAGGGTCCCTTATTTCGTAACCCCCATGTGGCACCGGAGGCCTGACTGGCAGCATTGGGATGGGCAAGAGCACGGTGACGAACTGGCTTCGGGAGCGAAGTTTCGTGATTGGATCCGGATGTCGTGCCAGCTTGCATGGAGCACTGTCGCATGCCGCCAAACTTTGATTCAAAATCTGCAACACATGTGCATCATGCGACACAGGAAGCTGCATGTGCCCGAGCAAGGAGATGAAGATTCCCGTGGACGATGCTGATGCCACAGTTCACCGACTGTACGCGTTGGATTCCCAGCACGTTTGATCAACCCAAAGAGGTAAGACAGGACCGGCTGTATCTGCGGATGCAAGGGTTCTTCAATGCGAGTGCCAGCCTCTCACTTGTAGGCTCATGAGCAGATACCCATGCTTAGCCGCAAACCCTATAAGCCTTTCTGAAGGCTCCCGGTAATTAGTCATACGGGGGTTATCTGTAGAATGATTTTGTTTCATTCCTGACCAGGGCACACCGCCTATGGCTACTGATGAACCTTCAAGTGGAGTTTCTCAACATCAGGGGACCCTTTTTCTACCCCCAAATGAGAGTCGTCGAGCCCCGCCTCAAGAAGGACTCCCTTACCATTTTGGGACCCTGTTGCCCCAGAGTGGCAAGGCCCGGGGGTCAGGCCGTCCTGCCCATCCAGAAGGCAGGATTTCTGGCATCATTTAGGGTTGAGGGTTGAGGGTTTAGGGTTTAGGGTTTAGGGAGACCCATGTCGGTTTTTTGGTTTACAGGGTTTTTCAACAACTTGACCACACTTGATCAAAATCACATATGTCATCGCAACTGACGAGCGGCCCTGAAAAACATTGCGACTGGTACTGGTGCTGCTTTACGTGTCTCTGTGGGCTTCGTTTCTTGCAGCTTCCCTGTGGCTCGCGAGGCTTTCGGTGACGGAGTCTTGGCCCAGGCCAGATCGCTTCATCTTCCATCCGGGCCATTCTCTAGCTGCTCCCCAAAACCAAGCCCTGAAGGCTAGGACTCCACAAGCCCCACAAGCATCCCAAACCCAAATTCCGTACATCCTCGCCCCTGAATCAGGACGGTAGCATCGACCGCAAGGCCCTTTCCAAGCTGGTGGTGGGAGAGGACATCTGGCTTGAGATTGGCTATGAAATCCGAACTGAAGCAACGGAGGGCTATTACAGGGATTCATGTCGTGTACTTCGGGCCAAATTTGGAGTTCGCCAACACGCCTCACTTGTTTTATTGTCCCGCCTCCACACAATTTACCCGCTTGCTGCAGTGAGACAAGTGGGGCACGGGCAAGTGGGGCAAGTGGCTGACAAAATGCCCGATTTGCAAGACCTCCGCCGAAAATTGTCCGACTTGCTGCACATCCTCCTTGTCAACGGAAGTTTCGCTCACAGTGTGAGGCAGGGGCAAGTTTTGGCAATTTTGGCTACTTGCGCTGCGCATGCAGGAGAACAAAGAGAAGCTGCAAAAGCTGGAGGTCGTCCAACTTGCAGAACGTTTGGCTTCGGGCAGTTGCATTCAACTTCGGGTCGTAAACAGATGGCCGTGAGCTGTATGCAGGGTGTCTACCACCAATATCAGACGCTTTCAGGGACCACCAGACAACGGCACTACAATTTCAAAGGTTGTGACCACGCTCATTTGCCATTCTTTTGCCAGGCTATCGTCCATCCCCTCGTAGAGGCTGCGCGCGATGCCTTCATCGCCGAGGCATCTCGGCAGTCGGAGGTGCGATTCCGCCGTTCAAAAGGTTGAAATATGTTGAAATCATTGAAAGGTTTGGGAGTAGAACCATATAGAGGTTGCCAGGAAGACATCGGATGTGAGCTGGAGCTGAGACACGCGCCAAGTTCTAAGCCGAAGTTGTGTTCTTGTCCGCCTTTGCGTGCCTCAGCCGCTTTGCATCCTGGACATTCCGCTGCTCTTCGAGAAGCAGCTGGACACCATGTGTGGGTTGCAGGTATCGGGGTATGATCTCGACAAAGTATGTGCCATGCTGACAGTAAGAGGCCGGAGAGATTGAGAAGTTCCCAATTCTAGCCTGGGCAGAGTGCTGTGTGCATTTCTTCCAGTACTGCACAAGTTCCCGAGCCTGATGGCGGATCTGAAGGATCAAAGAAGGGATGTGGCTTGTTTCAGTATAGACTTTTTGATTCAGGAGCAACATTGCGACTTGGTCGTGGTCGTTAGCGCACCAGCTGAACAACAGCCAGAGACTCACGGCGAGCGATGTGGGTCGCACCGACTTGACGAAGAGAGAGAGAGAGAGAGGACCGTCAATAAAAGCACGTATGGTAGGCAAGCCCAACGAAGCCCAAGGACTCTTTTGCTGTAAGCCCAGCTGCGCTGCCAGTCATTGGGCCGTCCAGGGCTTTTCCTCCTTCATGTCAAACCATAGTTCCACGGGAGCCACCATCGCAAAGGCGTGCGCGCGTGCTGGCACGGAAAGACATGGACCCTGAGAAGTTTACGGCGATTCTGGCCAAGCAGGCGCCGAAGCAGGTGTAGGCTGACCTTTAAACACAAAGTTTCACATGGTTGGGAGGCGTGCAAGTGCCTGCGTGACATCCAGCAAAGTAGCGCCGTGCAAGGCTGTGAGGAACACAAGACACGTCAGAGCACTATCCGAAGACCCACCTAACTCGCACCCGCATAAGACCTGCCAGACATGAGGCTTTGATTGAGTGGGAAATTGCAGGTCCCGGATGTTGAGAAGCGAGCGCTGTCCGACCGCATCGTAGATACTGGGCTCACCCTGGAAGAGCGCCAAGGGATGCCGGGGCTTTAAGTGGGCTGGACTGTTGGAAAAGTCATGAGCTGGGAAAGGAGGAGCAAGGTTCGGTTTTGGGATGTGGGCTCTTGAGAGCTGAGGTATGCATACCTGAGCCTTAGTTAACTTGTGCCAGGAGACCAAGATGCAGGTGGTGGCGTTCGTCGAGGAGTGCCCGGCCCTTATCGTTCTACCAGTCGGAAGCTTCGAAAATGCAAGGAAGGTACCCTGATTGTGCGTCGGGTACCAAAACTTCATGTGGTGATTGTCGAAAATCAGGCTCCCTTTTGGGGGTGCCCTGGCCTCTGAGTGCCTTTCAACGGGTACCCTAATGTAGAACACCCACACCCTCAACATTTTTTCTGAGAATCCTTCTGCAAAGCAGCCGGCACGGATGAGCGATCAAAATCTGATGTGCTGGGTATCCCCGAGGCCGTCGGCAGATGGCTCAAGAACGCCAGAATGACAGGACCTTGACGCTTGGTTGCACTTCGGGCGACATTCTCCCAACCTTCGCAGCAGACGCAAAACAAGCTTCGCGTCCCAATGTCAACGCGAAATCATGGAGGGCCCACCACAACTCCCTGACAGAATCGGCTATCAAACTGAAGCCGCAAACTTTTGAAACCGGCCAATCCCAAAACATCCTTGCCCATTCCAACTCTCGCATGCTCGTACATTCTGGTCCAAAGTCAGGCACTGGCTGCTCATCGGTGTCGCCTTGGCCATGGGCGTGTCTGCTGCCGTGGCGCTGCGCCGCTGGAAAGCCTGACCCATGCACCCCTCCCGGCACAAGGCTACGCTGATGTGTGGATAATGGATGATAGAGTGCGGATCGTTTGGACCAGCAGTCTTGCTGTCGCGCCACCCACAAGATGCCAGCTGCTCAAAATTTGTTGAAGGGTTCGTTTCGACCCACTCAATGCTGCCTGCGACTTCCTGTAAGACTTGGGTCGTGGACTGCACGGATGGAAGCTGCCTCCCCAATGCAAACTCGCAATGCCCTTTCGGGGGGTGTTTTTGCCGCCCTCTTCTGACTACGCATGAAGCTTCATGATCAGTTGATGCGCGCATGATCACAAGCCTTGTGGAGCCGCAACGACGCTGCAGCCGATGGCTTCAGCTGAGAGGGCACGGGGTTCGCAACAGCCCAGCCTGAGAATCGCCAGGCCTTGAAAGAGATCTAAGAAAGTGACCTTGTTTTGCCTTGCTGGTCAGAGTGCACCAGGCAATGCAGGCCTCTACGAGCACCCAGAAGCAGCGCGGCGACCCCAGTCTACGCAGGGTCAAAGAGGAGCAGTCGCCTTTAGGAACCTCGGCCGGTAAGTAGATGGGCCATTTTTCTGGGCGATGCAACAACACGCCCCATCTTTGCAGACCGAACTGCTGCGAAGTCGCCGCCCGAAGCCCCTTTGGGCTGAAGAACAAGAGATACTGTCAGACACATGGACATTCCATCCGAAAAAAAACCCTGAAACTTGAGGAGGCCTACCGCTTTTCACAGATCCTGAGTGAGGCCCTAAATGGTGCTGAGGGGCTGAGCCTTCATCTCTCGAACTGAACTGAAGCATTGTACCTCAAACCGACCTAAGAACTTCCTCAACTCCTGACAGCCCAGGTTCTGGAGATCACCTCCCTGACCCCAATCCTAATCAGCCCAAACCCCGCTTAAGCCTTAAGATAAGTCCGGGATCTTCAGCGCCTTTGTTCGCTCCTCATGGCCCGGCTCCGCGGCCTCGTGGTGCTGTTGGCAGCTTTGGCGCCACTCTGTGCCACCTTTGTCGGTGCCCGGGCTAAAGGGGCTGCAAGGGGTGACTTTCGGAGGTCAAGTCGATTGATGGGGTCCTTTTGACCTGTGCTCCATGAGTGCTGCTCGGCGTTGCTTAACGATACAAGGTTTGAAGTGAGACCAGGAAGCTACTCCGAGACGAACTGCCGGCTGAGGCAGTTTCTGGGCTTCGCGAGATTTTCACCCTGGACGGACTTGGAAGGCTGGCTTAGCAACACGTTGCTGTGATATGATCTTCCTCAACCACTGCATTAACCCCCCCCCCGACTCCGCACCCCCCCCACACACACACACACACACATACTCACACATGACACATTACAACGCCCAGCCTTGCATGCGGAATTCAAGTCTGACAGGACGAGCAATTCATGCCATCAAGCATGCTCGTAGGTGGCACTGCGGGCCACTGGCGACCTGGTTGCCGCTGCTGGTGGTGGCAATGCTGCGCAGGCGGTTCGCTTTCCCCCCGTCATGGGTGAAGTTTCGTTGAGGTGAATGTGTGGATGTGACTTCCAGATAAATCGGCCTTCGAAGATCGCGCAGGAAGTGGCTGGCAACAGTCGAACAATAGACACGCACGCCTCAACAAACATGTGCCAAGCTTTCCGAGCCCGCTTGCTTGGGAACTTGGGACCATCAAAAGAAGCAGGACTCGTGCCGGCTCGAGCGGTGCTTGGGCAACGCCCCCTGCTGCACGAGATTGTTAATCGCGACATGCAGGTCACTGAGCTCCTCCAGTCCGGCACTTCGCCAGACACCGCGGATGCCAATGGCCAACGCCCGCTGCCGCGCGGCTCGTAAACCTCAAGTTGTGTGCCACGTAAGACCATGTAAGACTGTGTGGCTCTATGTTCTTCGGACGCAACCTTGCTGTCCTTCCTTACAGGACAGTGATGCTGCTGTCGGGTGCTGTGCTCATGCAGTTCAGGATTGCCGCCGCTGGGCAGGGGCACATCGAAGTCATGGAGCGCTTGCTACTGGGCTGTTAGCATGTTGGGATCCCGGATTGCAACGGGCTTCTTCTTGTGGCCAGGCAAGGAGTGCTTGATTCGGGGCTCAGGTGAATTGGATGTGAGTGGAGGGCCCATGCGTAGCTTGAGCTGCAGGACTTTTAGCTCGTCGGGCAGTGGGTGGCAGCGGTCACTGCGGAATGCTTTTTCGGCATAAAGGGCCTATACAATCATCAAAGCACCCATGGATAGCATGGAGCTCCTACCGCAGTGATTGAAGGACTTAGGTAGTAGCACGTTCCTTTGAGTTGCATTGAGTTAAAAAGGCATCAGATTCTGGCCACTCAAGCGGGTTTGCAAGAGCTTTTGGTCTCGGAATTGGCCGGCCATGCGCGTTTTTGCAATTTTGATGGCGCAAACCCATCTTTTGGGCAGGAAGATGCATCACATTGTGTCAGATTCCACACGCAGGTAACTCAAGGAACCTATGGACCAGTTCTTCGGTTTGCAGTTTTTGTCTTTGATTTGAACAGCCTGAGCAGATACGACTGATCGAGGCTGGCAGCAGGTGCTGACGTAAATGCAGTGAACCAGCAGAAGGCAGCTTGGCATGGCTTGGCCGTGTGTGTGTGTGTGTGTGTGTGTGTGTGTGTGTGTGTGTGTGTGTGTGTGTGTGTGTGTGTGTGTGTGTGTGTGTGTGTGTGTGTGTGTGTGTGTGTTTTGTTTTTTTTTTTTTTTTTTTGGGGGGGGGGGGGGGTAGTCTCAGGAACAAACACGGACTCAGTCTTGACTCCAGCTGGAGCAATGCAAGCATGATGTCCTCCACCTGCTGCTGCAGCCCCAAACCCCAAACCCTAAACCCGAAGCCCTAAACCCTCAGCCCTAAACCCTAAGCCCCAACCCCTGAACGAGCCCCGACATGTTCTGCACAAGTTCTGTTGCTCCCGAAGTCAGGCCACGGCCTTGATCGCGGCAGCCTTTGCCGGCGGTGTGGCGCCCTTGCGAGTGCTCCTAAATGCCGGGGCCGACGTCGAGGCTCCCCGAGATTCCGCGATGTGCTGCAGACAAGTGTAGGATCGCGCTTCAAAATGGTACTTGCAGCGTTTGCATGCCTCACGCCTTGCTGCTTCAGAGTCTTTCGAGCGAGCCAGTGAGCCCCTTTACTTGATGCCAAATGAGCTGTTTACAAACGCGCAAGCGGCTGGGCTTTTTTTTTTCGCATACGTTTCGCATGCGCTTGACTTGGTCCATGCCAATGCGTCCCGCAGACGGCTCTAGACTTGCCAGTCAGTTTTTGATAAAGGGCAGTCTACCCCAAGAACAAAGAAGGCTAAGCCAAGCGAAGTTTTCGTAGACACAGACAAGGTGCCGTTGACATTTCTTCGTGTGGGCTGTGAGCTCTAGGCCCTCCCAAGTACATCAGTTCTACTTCAAACTGTACGCTCATATAGTGGCTTTCGGCCTTTTGAAGCTTTTGGCGCCGCTGTCGCTGGCATTGGTGGATGGACGGCATTGGTAGATTCGTCTTCGGGCTGGCCCATGACCGACACGTTGAAAACTGCAAGACTTGGAGCGACTCCGCAATGCGAGATTTCCTCGAATGCCAGATTGACGTGCCAGGCATGACCGAAGGTGGAATCACAGTGACTGTCTGCTTGATCAGCGGGCGCAGTGAAGTCATCGAGGTGGCACGCAGCGCCCCCATTGATGAGCTGAAGCGCCAGGCACAGCGCAAGCTGGAAGTGCGAAGAGGTACCTTGATACGCGGCCACATCATTCTCGATGGGGACAAGACAGTCGGTGCCGTGAACCTCCAAGATGGTGAGGTGCTTACGTTGAAGACGAGCCCTCCCCGTCTGACATCCAGCCAGGAGGGATTTGGTGCCATTCTAGGCGATGGAACTCTTGTCGCCTGGGGAAAATTTGCTCGCAATGACCGGCTTGCTGTGCGCGGGCGGCTGCGGGAGATCACGGCCGGCGTTTCAGCCTTCGTTGGCCTGCTCCACAACGGAAACATTGTGGCATGGGGGCGCTCCGAGTGCGGTGGGAACTTGGGGAAAGCTAAGCAGGGTTTGCCAGCAAAGTCATGAGCTGTAGACGCAATGGATCCACATGTTCCACCCTCTACTGGTAGCTCTACTGGTAAGACTCTAAGCTGCAAATCACTTCAAATGCACCGGCCAATTCTCAAACCTTGGAGCTCAAAACGACCCCGAAAGCAGCAGCCTCCCTTAGCAGGTGGTGACTGCAGCCACGTCGAGGAGCAGCTGAGGAACGTGAAAAAAGTTCATGCCTCGGCTGGAGCTTTCTGTGCCCTTCGGGAAGATGGATCAGTGGTCACCTGGGGTAAGGAGTCGGCCGGTGGTGACAGCAGCGGTGTCCAAGGCTTGCTGAGAAAGGTGCAGCAGGTCCACACAAACGGCTGTGCCTTCGTGGCGGTCCTGCAGAGCGGTTCCGTGGTCACATGGGGCAACATCCAACGAGGTGGGGACTGCTCCAGTGTGCACACAAAGTTGCGGAACGTTCGCGCACTTCGATGGACCCTGGGGGCTTTTGCAGCTATTTTGGGCAGTGGCTCCGTGGTGACTTGGGGCCACAGGGATTTTGGCGGCGACAGCAGTAGCGTTCAACAAGAGTTGAGGGATGTCAGAGACATCTACTCTTCTGCAGGTGCCTTTGCTGCCGTCCTGAAGGATGGAAGCGTTGTGACCTGGGGTTCTGATGATGAGGGCGGTAACAGCAGTGCCGTGAAGAGCAAGCTACAGAAGGTTCAGGAAATTCGTTCCCTCTCGGCAATTGATGGAAGCGCTATGGCAGCACTCCTGGAAGACGGTTCTGTGGTTACTTGGGGTGGAGAGCAGGTGATGGCGGCGAACAGCGAAGCAGTACAGGCCCAGCTGAAGGATGTACGGGAGATCTATTCTACCCGGGGTGCTTTTGCTGCGGTTCGACACAATGGCTCCGTGGTGACATGGGGCGATCCCCGATATGCCGGCGACAGCACGTCTGTCCAGCAGGACCTCAAAAACGTCCGTGAAATCCAGGCGACAAAACGAGCATTTGCTGCCATCATGGAGGACGGGTCTGTGGTAACGTGGGGCGATCCCGAGTTCGGAGGGGACAGCAGCTCTGTCCGGGCACAGCTCGTAAAGGTTCACGTGATTCACGCCACCGAGAGCGCGTTTGCCGCTCAACTGGAGGATGGAACCATTGTGACTTGGGGAAATCCTGCCACCGGTGGCGATAGCAGGGCCGTTCAAGATGTGCTGCTGAACTGGTAGTGCTGAAAATGGCAGTTGCTTTGGCTCTTTGTTTGAATGTGCGAATCGCGTGCCTGGGTTTTCTTCATCATTTGATCATCGACATGTGGAGGATGTTAGGTTCCAGTTCTATAAGACGATGAGATTTGGCAAGAGACGGCAATTGCGAGCATGGAGAACGCGAGATAGAGGCTTGAGCTCAATTCGGTAGGATTTGTTCTTGGGGCCTATGAACAGGCTGCAACTGCCTCCGGCGCAACACCCCTGGCTGCCGCCGCCGAAGGCCCCGACGTCTGTGATAGGGATTTTGGGCCGCAAGAGATGCGCCTGGAAGTGCTTTTTGCAACATCGGAGTTGATTTTTCCGCCATCCCCCCCTCCCCCACCCCTCCCCCCGCCCCACCACCACCAACACCACCAACACTGTCACCCCCGCCGCCATTTATCATCGCTTACCATCATCACCATGATTATAATCGTGCCTGTCTTCATCCTCATCGTCATCTTCGTTCGGGTCTGGCAGTGCCGGTGCGACAGATGGTGCCGGGCAGGCAACAAGACAGAGGCAGTGTCCGAGCTGCTCGCCGCCGGCGCACGTGTGGATTCCGCGGATGCTAGTGGGGCCTGAAGCTGAGGATATGATTGAGACGGGGGAGGATGCATGGCTGCGAAGTGTTGTGTAGTTCTATTTAGTGCGGGGATACGAATCGATGCTTTGTACACGGCAGACAAGGCCTGGCCGAAACTCAGCAATATGATGTTGAAAAATGCCCACATCTTGGCCTGATCTGACTTCAACATGGTAGTAATCAATGAGAGCCAACCTGCATTTCACCAGAGGTACCTTTCTGAGAAAAAAAGATTCTCATCGCGCTCTTGAGTCCAGGTCACGCCCCTGCACCGCGCGGCCATGTTCGGGCTGGTGGACATTGTCCTGGAACTTCTAGAGGCTCTGAGTCATAATAACATTTAAGAACACTAGCAGAACTATGAGCGCCGCATTGGGATCGAAGAGCTATGTTTTTGGGGGTTCCGCACAGATTGCAGTTGAGTTTGGTGCTGTGGAGCAGTTTCTTGCCCCGTGCATTGCTTAAGAATGCTCCAGATCGTTTGGGAAGTCGTGCCATGTCCACTCAGCCATGTAACCGCTGGCTCATGCTATTCTGAGATTGCAGGCTGATGCCGGTGTGGACTGCACCACGGATGCACTGCTTACGCCCCTCATGCTGGCGGCACGCGCAGGTCACAGAATCTTGATCGCATAGGGGGGGGCATATGCATGTTTCGCAGGTGGGTACAGTAGTCCTGATGGTTTGTGCTTCTCCTATTCCGGGAGAGCTGCCATGGCAACATGCGCAACCAGCATCAACGGCACAGAGTTTAACAGAAACACAGAGACCCAGCACGGGACAAAGGCGATGTCATGGCTGAGCTCATTGAAGCTGGGGCCGACATCGAGCTGCGGGAGAAGAAGGGCGGGGTCTGTAGGTTTCCTCTCAACGGGGCTTTTGAAGTTCAAGATAGTTCAAGGTTGCCATGTGGTGTTTACTATTACGGTACATAGTGGCAGTCTCAGAATGTCACATAGAATTCCCAAGCCTTCTGTTGACTCAAAATCCGCTCCTCATGCAGGCGGCACAGCTCTCTTCGAAGCAGCCAGGCCCGGAAGCGCAGCACTGAAGAGACCAACATGTAGGGACATAAGGGCGGATTGTGAGGCAAATCTCACGTGTTTTGAGAAGCTTCAAATCGATTAGCACCCTCATGACCGATCGGGTTAGAGGGAGGCTGGCAGAGGTGCGGCCAGTCGGAAGCTGCCGCGCTGCTGCTTGCGCTCGAGGCGGACGTGGATGTGCAGCGTGAGGACCCATCGGTGTCGGATGGTTGGTGCCTGTTGAACTCATGACTTTCCATATACTTTTGGGGCTAAGACTTCGCGCCCCGAGGCACTCGCTTTCTCACTCTCTATAGGCACCTAGAAAGCCCTGCCCAGCTTTGTTGCCTCAAGCTCCTGGGCTCTGGAGGGGTGTTGAGGATACTTTGAAGCCTCGTTTCACGCTAAAGGAAAGTATCAGACTGAAGCCCTGCTGTCAAAAACATAATAGGGGGGGACCTGTCAAAGAAACTGGCGAAACTGAAGCTCGGGAATGTCGCGCGCAGTTAATTCCAGGGTGTGCGTAGCCATACAAAAGGATGAATGTCATATTAGGCGTGAATCTGCCTTGGGTTGGCAGGGGTCTGGGGGTCTGGCGAAAGCATTGTGTGAACCGAGGGCTTGTGCCTAGAAAACAGGATGGTGCCTCTCCGCTGATGGTCGCTGCACAGGGTGGAAAGGCGCCCAGCGAAGCATTCGGTTGATGGAGTCTGCCTGTAAGGGCCCATCCTTGTGATCAACCCCACGGGAACATACGGGAACCGACAATCCATGAAAGAAGTCCTGCAGAAGTTCAGTTGAAAGCTCTCCGAGCGGTGTGGCCCAGGGTGGTGTCATCCAAGAGCTCCTCCAGGTGAACGCCACTTTGGAGCTTGCGCGCGAGGCTCTGCAACTGCAGGGCATGACAGGGAGTGTAATGGCAGCGTAGGGGATTCAGTGATATTGACAGTCTTCAGCGTCATGGCGCTGCCTAAGTCCTGAGTCTGCGGCCCAAGAATCCTTGGCCAGGATGGATGCACGGCCCTGATGTTTGGGGCCATGTCGGGGCACAGCCCAATTGTGGACGTGCTACTGCAGGCCAGGAGAATCCGAAAACAAAGAAGTCTTTGGCCGCAATGTGGTACTCGCGGGCAAACTTACCTGCGTTCGCAAGAACCGTGCCGTAACCTTCATGCGTCTGCGTTCACAAGAAGATCCAGGAACCGCAACATAAGTAGCGCACTCCTACAAAGCAAGCTCTGATACCCAGTGGCCAGCTGCGTTCCTGGCAGGCCAGAGCAGATCCCAACAACGTTTCTTGGCACTGCGGTGGAGAGGCTCATGCTAATGGCCCATCCAGTCTGCTTCGTACAGGGCGCATTCATGATCAAGATGGCACAAGACTGTTCAAAAACCAGGAATCTGAGATGGCTCGCAGCCTAGGTGGACAAAAACGGCGTGACTGCGATCAAGATCGCCAAGCAGAGCCTCCTACCAACATGTCAGGGGATGCTTGTGTGAACTGAACGCGGGTAGCAGAAGGCAGGAAGAAGGCTACGGGGGCTTGGAAGATACAGTTAGGTAGTGATGCGGGGCGGGAGGAGGTATCCACAAAGGCCATGCGGCTGCCGATCTCTGATCCATCGCTTTCCGTCTCCTAATCGTCCAGGAATGGTCACCCGGACGTCGTGCGCAAGCTGCGCGCGGCGGGCGCCAGTGGCACAATAGGCCATGGTCTGTGGGTCGCTCGCAACCTGTGTCTGCAGACTTCTGTACGCGCTTGTGCAGGGGTTGAAGAGTTTTTGAGGAGTTATGCTGCTGCCAGCTCCCCTGTCCAGGCAAAGGCAGAGCAATCGACATAAATGAGGTTTTCAGCGACTGACCGTTGCTAATTTAGCTGTCTCACGTCAGGACCTTTGCCCTGGCTTGACTGGATGTTCGTTAGTGCCACAGCTTGCAGGTAGGCATTAGGGTCCTTTATAGTTGCCACTTTGACACTTTGACATAGCTTGACATTGACCAGCAAGTTCCAGTCAGCCTGGCTCAAAGGTATCCGGTTTTCAGACCCATTTTTCGAACTTGGCATGGCAAGAGGATGACTCTGCCCAAGTTAAGATTCGCTCTGCAGTGCATTGTCTTCAGGCATAGCCGAGGGACCACATTCACGCCCAGGTTGAAGGACCAGGGACCATGAATGGACCCAAGTGCCCGAATCATGGCAGCTCACAATCAGTTCCAGGCCGTTGCCATCAGATTTCCGAACACGCTGAGCTTTTTGCAAGTTGTGCACACAAGGTGTGCAGTTCGGTGACGGCAGCCTTTAGGCAGTCATGGCCGGGTCTGCTTGTTGGCTAGACTATGCTAGGCTTCAGCATAGGGCTATTCAGATCTCAGTGTGTGAAAGCGTTGTTTGCTTCTGTTTGAAATTTTACACCATGTTCGGCCTCTATCAAGGTCTCAACTTGCTGCTGACAATTCATTGTGCCGTTGCTGTTGGATTTGGTGGTTCGGCGCCTGCACCTCGGAGAGCTGAAGTTGCAAGCTGCAGTCTGGCTGGAGAAGGAAACAGGGCTTCCAAGCCAAAGGAAGCAATGAAGATACACATGTGAGCTATGAGGCACGAGGTCTAAGGGCCTGTCACAGTGTCACAGATCCCGCCAATTTGGTCATATGTGGCTGCGATGGAAGGTTCTTGCTGCCCCACCTGTTCGGCTTCTTCCTGGGAGAGGAGCCAGGGGCTCATCAAGAGGGCACCTTCCCCAACCCCGAAGACGACGCCACACGACTTCATCACACTTTCAATCATGCCTTTGAGATCATCTGAGACTAAGCCACATTCCAAATGTGGCTCCGCATTGCTCTCCAAGAGACAGCCGGACTCTGCAAACCTCAAGGTGGCATGGCACGTTCCGCTGGAACCCAGATGATGGCCAGGCCGGGTCCTATTTCTTCCGGTTGAGGTAGGCGGATGTTTCCCAGCACCTTAGGTTCAAGAGTCAGGAGAGTTTAGTTTTTTTGGTTGGCGGAGGCGTGCTGATGCGTGTGTTTTGAGGCGCACACTATCTTTCAAGGAATGTCTTGCTGGAATAAGTTGCATGCATCCGGCATCATGAGTTGGCTCCTTCAGAGCTGTGATTTGAGATGTTTTGATATCGGTGTTCCGGCAACCCTTTTTGGTTCTGTGTAGGGCCTCTGCACCTTAGAGCTGTTGGCTGACTGGTTTCGGAAGTGCACCAGGTGAAGATCACCCACGTCGTCATCCGACTCTATGGTGCCTGCGCCCCATTATTTCCCTGGGAGGCCAGGCGTTCTTGAAACTCAGGATCTCGGTGGAAAGCACGTGAAAATCGCTCTGAGGCCCTGATCCTGGGCCAGTCCTTCTTGACATACGCTGCAAAGCAGACCGATGACGGCAGGGTACCCAGTGCAGTGTAAAGTTGTGAATCGGCTGCAACAAGGCCAAGGCCAAGCAAGAAAGGGATCAGTTGAAAGCAAGAACGAGAGAACCCAAAACGCCATGGCATGGACCGAGCACCCGGCAAAAGATGGCGCAAAAGATGGGTGTTGAGTGCAGTGGTGGGCATGCTTATATGCGGTATTGTGGCCGAGTTTTTTCAAGGAAAGTACCATCAAGAGCAGACCCACGAGATCCCAAAACAAGTGCCGGCCTTTGGACCTCAGAGGCCGCGTGCGCCTCGCCGCAGTCAGGGCTTATGCCGCCACACCGCCTGCGGTTTGATTTGGCGGGGATTTGGGAGGAATTTTAGGGGCCAAGATGGGAGTTGGGATGGGGCGAGTGGCATGTCGCTTGCTGTATCAAAATGGACCGAAGACATCGCACAAGGCTGTTGTTCCAACCGGTCGAACTTGCTTGCGATGGTTTATAAGTTCGTGTAGGGACTGGGACATTGGGGTATGCTCGTGAGCGCTGCAAGATTGGGGTCTCCTATAGACCCACCGATGTGGTTGTGCCAGGTTGTATTTGGCCTGACCACGCTGGCTTTGCTGCGAGCGCAACTCACGGACTCCACTTGGCACGCAGGGGCCCAAGGACGTTCCAGCAAGAGTGCGGTGCCCGGGCATGCCAGCTCAAAGCATTCCGCTACGCAGCGCATTGCCAGATGTTATAACTTTGTTATAGATTTGTTCGTTTTGTGGGGGCTCAGGTTTGGTCGGGGCATGCGGGTTGCACACCCGCGAAACATACCCCCGAAACACACCCCCGAAACTGCATCTAAAGTAGCTCATGATGCCACGAAACATACCTGGAAACATACCCCCCCCCCCCCAAACATACCCCGAAACATACCCACGAAACATACACCCTGATCCCAACACCTGTCGCCCGCCCCCTAATTATGTCGAACAAACCCATACTTATTGTCAGCGCGAGAGAGAGAGAGAGAGAGAGAGAGAGAGAGAGAGAGAGGTGCTCAATTGGATCAACTTGCTCCTCTTCGCATGTCTGGCAGCTTTCTATGGCTGGTTCAGCCTGCCGCAGCCCTGGTGCCGCTTACAGGCGAGATCTACAGAGTCCGTCCCTGAAAGGCATTCCCTGTTCCGAGGGTGTATCGAGGGCAACAATCCGTGTGAGGGAAACGGAGTCAAAACGCCGAGGGTGCAGCCACCAGCTGTTTTCGAGGGCCTGGGCAAAGTGACGTCCTAGGCACGGCCTTTGGGAGTGTTTGTGCTCTTTCGGAGATGCCTGAGTATGGGTTGCTAGGGTCCCCTGCTGGGTTGGTTAGACGGGCCTGTGCTGGATCCAGCCCTCAACAATGGACTGGCAGGTGTTGGAGGGGTGGTAAGGTACTACTGTCATGAGCTTTCATGCAGATGATATATGTGTGTGCTTCAATTTAGTCGCAATCACCATGTTGCTGTGTCTGAGCAGGCATGGTCTCTGAAGACGCTGGCTCCGAGACCCCAGCCGGAGGCAGTGGTGAGATATCTCTTCAGATGTACAATACACACAGAAACACAGAGCCCGCGATGTGGCTTCGCCCACGTGCTGTGAGAAGGCGTCAGCAGGACAGGCGAGCAAGTTTCGATGCAGTTGTGTATCAGATCGAGTTGCCCCCACCACCACGCTTTGAAATTTGGCCATGCGCCAGAAGGGGGGGCATGGGAGATTGTACATAGCTTCGGAAAAAGCGAATGAGTCACTAGTCCATGAACATGGCTATCGGGGTCTAGTTGGAGGGGCGAAGGCAAGAAGGAGGATCCTACAAATGTCCTCACTTCGTTGTTGAGAGTCTAAGTAGGTCCTGGGATTTATGGGAGGGAGATGCTCCATGGCAACAGTTCAAGGCTTCCGGGTTTTCAGGACTTGGGCTTGCGTAGGTTGGGTTGGGATGTGGCGCGGGAATATGGGGAGGTGGGGAAGGGGAAGGAGTCCCAAGCGCTTAGGATGTTTAAATTTGAAGGTTGTTTTTTTTCGAGTACTGCGGGCAAAAGCCAGTTCTCTGCATGCGTTGCGCTCCGGTTCGAACGCATGATTGCATTGTAATTCATTTTTGGTCCTTCCAGTCGTATCTTTAGAAACGCCCTCTATTCGTAATCCATCAAGGCTTAGAAAATTGCTATATAAATTCATGCATGTCATTCTATAATTTAAGTGTATCATTACTATTTTCTCCGCGGCATGCAAGAATTCGTCAGAAAGCCGCAAGGAAATAACAATGAACAACTCGCTCCAAGAATTACGTGTTTGAGGGGACAAGATAATGATCGGGGCATCCATGTGACTCCTTGTTCATTCATATCTTCATTCTATTCTTTGATCACAGACTCGTTCACTTGTTCTTTGCACTCATACGAATACAGTCGCTACATGATTCATGCCGTTACAGACACCCTCCCAACAAATTCGAGGTGGGGTCGTAACCGGGACCAGAAGAGGGACCTAGGGAGCTGACGGTTTGAGAGATGTTCGTCTCAGAATACCACTCCCCCCCAACTAAAAGCAGCATTCAACACTATTCAATGCCACATAGTGCAACACTCTTCATACGGGTAGGGTTCGCAGTCCCCGACGGAGCTTGACGTCCCTGGTCTACTTGAACGACTTCATCCGGCCTGTCGACCCATTCTGGCTCAGGTAGCTTCACTGGAGACACACACAATTAGGCAGCCTATCTTTCTTTGTCGAACCGCACTGGATGCTTGCAAAAGGCATGTATGGCTTAGACCGCCGAGCTGCGATTCTGCACGAGTCAACTTCCGAGTTCCGTGGCAGAGTGGCTTGCAAGACTGCACCCATGTATTCACTGCGGAATGGCGAGGCCTTTTGGGCCCGGGGAAACCAAGAACATCTGGGATGTCTCTCTCTCTTTCTCTCTCTCTCTTCGTCAGTTTCTTCGCCTACTCGTCAGCTGCACATGCCATCTGTACTGATCCGTAATGCCAGAATTGAAGCACGGCCCTGGATGCCTTTCGGCTCGTGACAGCACGGAGAATCGGGGTTTATGGGCTGGGGTTCGCAAAAGAAAGCTTGTCCGGGTGCGGAGAGGCAAGATCTTCCGAGTCGAATAAAAGAGTAGAGTCGAAGAAGTCATTGAGCCGCACCGGACCCCATTTGAGTCAAGGTTGCCAATTTGATTTTTTTCAACAGCAGCACTACACAGCCTATCATAGTTCGGGGGGCCATGGTCTCGCCATGGCATTTAGACTCCACGAATGTGGAGGAATCTCTGTTAGCACGCGCCTGCCGCCGGCGTGACCTCTTTCAGGTGCACACTGAGTTTTCGGGTTTAAGAAGTTGAAAGGCATCCGAGGGCCTGCTGTACGGGCTTCACATCTGCTGTTAGGCTGCTCGTGATGGCCAAAGATGACCAATAGTCGGTCGAGCTTCTTTCAGTGGGCTCTCTAGCAAGTCGCATGGTCAGGTTGTTCTTGTCAAACTGTCTGGTTTGGATGTATTTGTCACAGTGCACTCGAAGTGCTTCGATTGCGCATTTGAGACAAATGCCAACCCAACAGATCTCAAGCTCGTCCGTGTTCTTTGGCCAGCTTGGAAGTGCAACTTTGAGGCAGCCGATGGCAGGGCCACCCGACCACTGAATTTTCCCCAAGTACACATGGGGAGTGCGTCTCCACAACAGTAGCCTTAGACACCCGCGATAAAATGAGAACCTGAGCCACGAACCCTTGGCAAGCCGAAGGTGCAGGCTCTGCTCCGCGACAGGGCGGACCCGAATCATGCTGACGCGGCGGGTGAGACGCCGCTGCTTCAGGCCGCGCTCGCAGATTGAGACACTTCAAAATGGCAACAGGGCAACCTGCTTCTGCTGGCCGGCAGCTTGTGTAAGATGAAAGCTGTACTAGTTACCAAGATCAGAAAAGAATTCCAGACGCTTGCTGGCTCTCAGGAAGCATTCGGAGAAAAAAAACAAGAATCAATATGATTAAGCCTGCAGGCAGCCGCCCAGGGCGATCTCGACGTCGGAGCCCTGGAGATCTGCCTTCCTCTACTACCAACAACTGAGTAAAAGCAGTGCATTAGCAAGGGCAACTTGTCTCCCCACACAGTCCTTATAGGGTCATCAAGCTCCCGTCAGCCGAAGTTCGAGCCACAGAACTGTTCGGAGTTCAGAGGTCGTCTCGCTGTTGCTGGGCCACGGTGCCGCGCCTTCTCGCCGAGCGCCACCCAGCGTGTGCCGGGAGGCAGACGGTCAGCCGCGGGCTGAGGGTGCAGACGAGGCTGACGAGCGAGTGGTTCCATGAGTAACGGGAAGCATTTGCTGCATAAGGTTCCGGAGCCCGAACAGACGTGCAGTAGTATGTCAGAGTTTCAGTATGAAGTCAATTTCATGTGTCCAGCATGTATCCTTCCATCGGAATTTAGAGTGGCTTGGGTTCGCAAAGCGATTTCCTGCAGTTTGCAACATGAAGTAGGGTTCAGATTGAGTTTTTGGAGTGCAAGCAGGGCTCTTTGGGGATGTGGGTGGTGTCCTTTCGATGCAGCTGACGATGGAAACCTTACTTCGCACGCTCTTGAGGCTTGTAAGCCGAAAACTGAGGCTGAGCCCTCCTGTGCAGAAGTTGTTCGAGCTGTTCACGCGCAAAGGCCGAGCACACGACTGGCAAGCAAAAGAAGTCAAATTGGTGTCCGAGCGCATGCCGGCTCAAACTCCCCCACGCTGCTTGTTTACTTCGAGTGAGGGTGTTCGTGGTGGTCATGTCATCCTCATTCATCCTCATCACTGAACCGTTCGAGGCCTCTCTTTGGATCAGCGCGAGAAGATCTTGGAGTCGCTCCCTTTGCCCTTGGATCCTGGTGCAGCTGCCCAGGTCCGGCAAGCTCTCCAGGAGCAAGCGATACTCATACTGAGAAGCTGGAGTTTTTGCGATCTCCTACAGCGCCATCGTGGAACCCTTGATTCCAACGCCCTCTTACAACGTGCTACAGGTAAGGTATGGTAGGGAGACAACTGGTGGGGGGCAGTGACCCCATGTAAGGTGCATGAAGTCTGCTCAAGTTTAGAACATTCCATGAATCCATGAACCTTGTCGCAGAAAACCCGAACAGTCCCGAAAACACGTCGTTGCAGGTGCGCAACCGTCTGGGCCTCGGTGGGCTCCAGTTCCGCAGCTCCCGCGGCGTCGCCCCGCCCAAGCGCCGGGAGCGTGAGGCCACGGCAGACCACGAGGCCGCCCAAGGGATTCAATGAATTCGGTTCCCTCCCTTTGAACTTTAGATAATGCTGACCATGATTGAGTCCCCCCCCCGATCCCACAAAAAAAGGGAACTTCTCAAGTTGGCATGTGGGGCTGTGTTGAGGGTGTTGCGGGAGGGTTGTAGAGTGTTCAAAGTTGGAGTTGGGGTGAGGGCCCTTGAGAGGGTGGCACAGGAATGCGGTTGAGGAACTGTTGCCTAGAGTCTTTTCGGTGTCGTCGCCCAGATTGCTTGCACATCCAAACCTCGAAGAATAGATGCAGCATTTCCACGTTGCTCCGACAAATCGATTCTAGACCAGATGTCCACAGAAAGATAGGGCGGTGGAGGGGAGAGAGATTAGCAGTATATCCTTACACTAGGAAACGGCTTTAACATGCTGTAACATTGATTTTACCCGAGGAGCCCAGAGAACGACAGTGAGTGTCTTGAAATCGATTTGCGCTCATGCCTGCAATAGGCCGGCGTGAAATGAATTCCAAGCAGATCGAAAAGCCCCGCATCGCGCAGCAAATCTTTCGGCTTGAAGTTGCGTTTTGTCCTATATAACCCAACATCGAACAACGGCACACCCAACGCAAATATTCTGGGATGCCACGGACAATTTGAAATCGGCAGCTTCGCTGAGACAAGCCGGTCCGTTTTGCCGCAGCATCGGCAAACACGTTTTCTTGTTTGAGGTCACGATCCTGGTGTCAGAGCCACTGCGCCCAGTTCTGGTTCTGAACCCTCTCTGGGAGAAGCCCACTGCCACTGCCCCTGGGCGCAGGGAGAGAAAGAGCACGCATGTAGGGCTTGTAAGCCTGCCAGCTGATGCAGACTGCTGCCAGATTGAGCGCACTGCAAGGTGGTGCTACTTCATGGCCTCCTCCAGTCAGGCCCGATGCTCGAGCGACTGGCTCGAGGCCTCTCCAAGGGCTTGGGCCTGAGAGACAATGGGCTCTGTCTGCTAATGGTTTCGACATGTTTCGACGCTGCACTCGGGACAAGGAGGTTTCAAGCAGATCTGCTGAGGCCTCCCCTTCGCACGCTTCGTGGCTCCCACCGCGCCGTCCATGCTTCTCGGCGTATTGCTGGATTCCGGGAATTCTGCTTTCGTCGGGCATCTTGTTGCTTGAATTTCAGCTGCAGGCCTTCGATTTTCGGCTTTGGCCCCGCCTGGTTCGACACCACCAAGTCCCCACCGCAAGGCAGCTGGATGTCGCGTGTTGCCCAAATCCGGAAAGCTGGAAACCCCAACATACAGCGGCCACCAAGCCACCAACCGACCACAGTGCATTCAGTGTAGTGCTTGAAAACCAAGTGGCGCGAGGCCAGCTGCCAGAGCAACTGGAGGCCAGATATCGAACACTGTGAAGCAGAATTGGAACTCAGCTGCTTCGTCATTGCATACCGAGACAGATTGTTGTTGGCGCCGACGGTGCTCCGACACCGAGTAATTCTCAAATTTGGCGCGATTATATGGGTATTTGCAGAGTTCTGTCTGACTGGGGGAAGAAATCGTCCTGGTTGTGCGTGTTTTCGGCCCATGCGTTCTGCTACCCTTCGAGAACATCGGTGACCATTCTCGTTATGCAGAGTATTCGTTGGTGGGACTCCCATCGCGGAAAACCTCGGTTGCTTGCAGTGTGTTGTCTAAGCCGGGTGACCTGATGATGTTTCCTGCTACCCTGGCAGAGCAGTGAGTCAGAAACCCAAAGCCCAAAACCGCAAACCCACAAGGTTGCAAGCCCAAACCTGAACCACTCCTTCCTCTCCTCCCTTTCCCCCTCTCTCCCCTCCCCCTCCCTTCCCCTTCCCACCCTCCCTCCTTCCCCCGCCTTCCCTCTTCCTCCCCTCCCCCCCACCCTTTTGCCCCTTTTCCCCTCTCTTTCCTCATGCATTCCGACTCGTCCCCTCCTGTCCCCAGTCCGCACCTTGGCTGCAAGTTCGCTAGTAAGCCTCCGCTTGAACTGTTCCTGGAGGGGGGGCGATGACGTCTGCAGAGCCCTTCTGAGAAATGAACAGGACGCGGTTGTATGGCTGCGGCTACTGCTGTGAGCCGGTCCACCGACCAACCAACCAACCAACCAACCAACAATGTCACCTAGGCAAGAAGTCAAGGCAGATCCAAAAATGTGTCCGTCATCAACATAAGCAGTGTTGACATGAGATCTAAGCTCTGAAAATGCTGAGCGTGTTTTGTTCTGTAGCCCAGTTCATGTACGTGCAGCGTCTCGTTCTGAGCAGAGTCTCTGAGATTCATCTGAGATTTCACGGGCGAGGCCAGCTCCAAAGAGCTCATCAACATCCTCGAAACGGAGACGTAGATGCATTTAGTCCTGAAAGCCCGTATACGGCAGGACACACACGGATTGGCAGTGGCCTTTCCTGGGACGGCTGCCTTCCTCCAGCGTCCCGTTCTCTCCGCATCAACCCTCCTACCACGATTAAAGATTGGGATGGCTCCGCCTGAGAATGTCAATCACGTGACCTGACGATGCAGAGGAGGCGAGCATCTCCGGCATCTCGGCCCAGCGCCTGGTCTTGGTTGGCTTCTCGGCGGGCGGTGCCCTCAGCGCCTTCGCGGCGCTGCGAGCCCCGTTTCGGCTAGGCCAGTCTACGGAT